TGGCCCACTTTGTTTTTTGTTGTTCGTCGTCATGTGTCTTTGATTTTTGTTTTTGTTTTGTCTGATTTGATCTTTTGATTACGTTTGTGGCGTATCCATTACGTACATTATTAGTAATACTAATATTTGTATATTACAGATAACACCTATACAATACTAGAAACAAGAAGAAGCCGCTGCAGCACTATAGACATAGGGCGAGTAACCCTGACATTTTTAAATTTTAAAATTTAGAGAAAAAAATTTTAAAGGCTTTAAAATTAGAACCGAAGATTTTATAAGTGCTAATCAGGAAGACATATGTTTTTAAATTTTAAATGTTATAAATAAGTGCAGTGTAACAGATACGTGAGTGTATATACCTGATAATGGCCGTTTGGGACCAAAACATGTAGTGTATAAAGAAAAAGACCTATAAATATAGTTTGCACTTAGGATGGAGTTATATCATATATCGTATAAAGTGCAACAGGATGCTTAAATATAATATTCTAAAAGGAGCTTCATAATTAGTACTCTGGACTAGATATTGTTAGGGTGATCAAGTTGAGGAGGAAGACATGGGGATGGCTTAGAGTATGCATGGGAGAGAAATATCGGCTAGAGACTGGCTATCCTGAGAGGTTTCTGTGATTTTTCTCAATCCTTAAAAGCAAGTTCCAGAATAGTACTTCAATATTCATGACTACTTCCTTACATATTCTTTGCACTTCATTATTGACTGCTAATCATACCATTTAACAATATGTAACATCACACTCGGGATGAATGGGTTTTTGGACTTTGTCTGGTATTCAGAAAAACATTAAAGAACACAAAGTTTCAAAAACTGGACCTGTTTCCTTCCTCAGATGGGGGGATGGGAGACACCTACTCTTTTGGATATGTTAGAAAAAGCTAATGTCAATCACATGTCACTATAACTACACACACACGCGCGCACACAAATACCTGAGCTCAGGCTTTGTCAACAGGATATAGCAGGAAACTGTACAATAAAATGTGTGGTAATGCATGTATAGACCATATACCATTATCAAAATCTACCAATGTGTAATTTGGGCTACAAAGCAAACAGAAAAAAACTCCATGGCCTGTAGTCTGCAAGCGAACTATACCGACCGAGCGACTGCCGCTTGTTGGCAAAGTTAGTGCCAAATTAGACCATGCCATAGGTGAAGCAGTTAGTTGCTGGCTTCCCACCGTGGTGGCCCGGGTTTGATCCTGGGTCTGGTCAAGTGGGATTTGTGGTGGACAAAGTGGCGCTGCGGTGGGTTTTCTCCGAGTACTTCGGTTTCCCCTGCCAATCTTCATTCCACCAAATTCTCCATCATCATAATCACCTGGGGCAGGCTACAATAGGCCAATCAGTGGCCGCCGTGCCGAGTGGACCCAGTTGGACTCCACCCCTCCCCCCCCCACTAAGCAAATTTAAAAAAAAATTTTAGTGCCAACTTTTCCAGATAGAAGGTGTTGTGTGGTCAGTGCAATGCACACAGATTTCTAGACCGGAGCAGCTACATTTCCATTCAAGTAGTTCCTCAGTTATCCTCATGAGGCTGAGTGGACCCTGTTCCAGACCCACTACTTCTCAGAAAATCTGGTAGTGCCAGGAATCGAACCCAGACCTCTTGATCTGTAGGCAGGAACTCTGACCACTAGACCACAGAAGCTACTGACAGCATAATTAAATGTATGCTCTGGCCACTGCAACTCCTCAGGAGGCCAACTTATTGTGTACAAGACTGTGTGCAGCAGTTCTGGCAAATGTGTCTCAGAAGTTTGTTGTGCTTTCAGATGGTATTCTTACCAGAGGCATGTGATTTTATTGGTGAAAAAAGGTCACAATTTGTGGACAATGCTGAGCCTGTAAATGGAGAGACTGTCCATTCCTTTTGCCAGATGGCAGAACAAAATAAGGTCTGGTTGTCTTTGGGAGGAATACTTGAAAAGGTAGGCCTGTAATAGAACTACTGTTCTGTATATTCTTCTGCAACTTCTGAGCAGCCTTTCTTTAAACCCTTAAATTTATTTGTATTTTAAAACCCTTGAAGAATTCTTTAAATGACATCCTGCCTGGCCTTAAACTGCACTTAAAAGGCAGCAAATCCCTCCTGTTGCAGTGTTATCCTAGTTTTACATCTTCTGTTCTGTATATCAATAAATAAAATTCTGTGGTTTAAGAGAGACATAGAAGTACATAAGGTTGTCATCTGTTGATAACAAGGGAAACTGTTAGTGGACTTTATAAGCATTTTTCAAAATGTCTCAGACATCTAAGGTTGTTTGGACAGGTGGACAACCATGTCTAGTGTTAGTGGACAGTGGGTTAACATAAGGTACTGATAGCTAGAGGACAAGTGACTGAGTATGTGAACGAATGTAGCACTTGGGAAATGCAAAGACTCACAATTCTTGTGTTGTTTGGTCCCCAACATGTGGAGGACTTTCATGTTTGTAGCAGTCATGGATGGGACAGACAAGCAACAGTGGGAGAAGTAAATACCTGTGCTTTACCCAGCATTGCAGTCTCAGCCCTTGCCAAAAATAAATTTATGTTTAGGTAGCATGCACATGCTTGTGTGTGTTCATACGTGCACGTGTGCCTGCACAGGCACGCAACAGAAGACAAAACACACACAGCAAAACTGCAATTTAATGTGTAGGAAATTGGATTAATGGAAGGTTATATGTAGAACTTGTAGCTAGACCTGAAAATTGCTTATTTTGAAGGTTCTGACCATGTGCTGCATTTGAGAGCATTCATATGACTGTGTTAATTCAGTGGAAGATTAAAAAGTATACATGGGAAGCAATGGAGTGTTTGGAGCTACTGTGGACATAATATGTGTCAATCAAATGTATGAAATGCCCATCAATCTTTACTCTGTGTCTGAGGGTTGACTCACTCATCCATTGACTGTTGTATCTGGCCAGGTTGTGACTCAGTGAAATGTCTCTCTTTTCTTTAATGATGAACTAGAAAGCAGCCATTGTAATGGTTTCTTGCCAGTTGAAGAAAGCAAGATATTAGGTATTTCTGACAAAGATTGTATTTATACAAAACCTTTGTAAAAAATATTTCCCATAAATGATGGCACCAGTTAGTGCATGCTGTTATTTTGGTACTCTAGTGTAAATGTGGCTGCCCTTTCCAAACTTTCAGGTTACTCTAGTTAGGTATATTTGATGAAGATTGTTTCTGAGAGTTTTGTGTTATAATATCAGCAGACATTATGCTAGCCTGTACATAGAGCATCATGGAACCACTGGATTTAGAACACTATCATTGTCACAGAGCTTTGTTCCAGGCGGACAGTGAGAAAGTTAGAAACTCCCATATTGTCATCAACAGTGAAGGAGACATTGTTTCTGTGTATCACAAGATTCACATGTTTGATGTTGACATACCAGAGAAAAACACTAGGATCATGGAATCAGATTATGTTCTTCCTGGTGAGAGAATTGTTGCACCAGCGGAGACACCTGTTGGGAAAGTGGGTCTTGCAATTGTATCCTTTAGTTGCAGGGTCATCACATTTGTAGAATTGTCATGTGTGTTTTATGCAAACCTCCATTTTTTAAAGTTGTGTTTATGTTTATAAGATTTAAATACTTACTGAGTTTGGCGTTTGTGGTGGTCCAGTGTTCATCTTGAGTGTGCTCTTGGGTCTTTGGACCATGCAGATTGGCAGTGTTGCCAACATTTTAGCAGTACATGCTTCCTCTTTCTGCAGGGTGGAATATGTCGATTTGGTCCAGCAGACCCATGGAGGAAAGGTGGGAGCTGGTGACCGAAACCTATATATATACACAATCACTGACTCAGCTGCTCACTTTGACCTAAATAAGGAGGCAGCGTATACCTCCAAAACATCACAATGCTGCCCACATTTGCACGATACAAAGACCCAACAGTAGAATCAGTATCAATATATAAGTACCATAGGTTATTTCAAAAGTCATGGCAATTAATTTTTTTGGGGGGAAACACATTGCAGTGAAGAAAGTTCAGAATATACTTATGAAAGGGCACGATATACCCCTCCGATTGGCTTAGTCAGATCAGGTAGATGTGAAGGGGTGTAGGTATAGTAGGCAAGAAAAATTGTACATTATGGAATGACTGTTTTTTTCTTCATTATTTAATTCTCGAAGAATTCAGTTGTGATTAAGAAATAAAAAATTCAATGTTTCATGTTTCATTGATGGAAATTATCCGATTCAAGAACTTGTCTCCTTCAATTTCATATCGTGTCAGGTTCACACAACTTTCTTCATAACATGTCCACTTTTGAACCTCGTTTAATTCGTGTGGCACCCACTTCGCTTCAATCTTGCGCATGTGTAGGTCTTTTCATAAAATTCGATGCACAGTTGCCTGGTCAATCCCTGTATGTATAAGTCCTTCAGAGACCAGTGCCTATCTTCCTCCATGCACTGGGTGACCACGGCATGAGAAACCTAGGTACGAACAAACACAGGGCGTCCACTACATTGCAAGTTGGCACTTGCTTCCCTTACACGTTGGAATTCTTCTGTCCACTTGCAACAGTTCTGTATGGTAGAGCACAATCACCCAGAGCTTCCACAAGCTCTGAGTGACATTCAGTCGCATTTCTGCCATGAAACACTGCTATTATCACGTAACAACGCTGTTGCAGCCAGCTAATGTTCATTCTCAACAAAGGTTATGATCACACTGACTTCGCGCTGGACTTGCTTCATTATCCTTGGACTTCCGCATCAACTAGCGGCATCATTAGAAATCAGACATTGCTGTCTCTCAGTGGCAAATTTGGAAATTCTGGTTGGAGCTTTCAAAATTTTGGAAAAATTATGTTGCCATGTCTTTGAAGTAACCCATGTATATACACAATCACTGACTCAGCTGCTCACTTTGACCCTAAATAAGGAGGCAGCATATACTTCCAAAACATCACAATGCTGCCCACATTTGCACAGTAGAATCAGTATCAAGATCTAAGTACCGTACTTGCCTGTCCCTTGTCCTGCTCTGCATGAACGTTTTCTTGTGCTAAACCACTGAACGTGGGTGGATGATGCAGTCTGCATATCTGAGGCTCAGAACATCTCATAAACCTTCGTGTTAATGTATTCCAGATACAGTTCCCTTAGATTCAGTCATGAATTCACAATATTGAATTGAGATTTGATGTTCTGGCAGTGGAGAATACTAAGACTTTGGTCTCTGGAATGTGGTGCCATGTTGTCTGGTTCATGGTTACAAATGATCTGAAGGAATATGCCTGCCCATTTTTAACCCTGAAGATGGGGGCAGTATTTTCCTCCAGAATATTGGTATCCATATGCCATTATTATTATTATTATTATTATTATTATTATTATTGGAGGGGGTGGGTTTCCCCATGCACCACGACCAGTGGTCTATTGTACGTCCCCCTGTGATATTCTACCCGTCTCTATACCCTACTGATACTGGTGCATGCCATCAGTCCCGACTCAGCCAGCGAGTTCGGCCTCTACTGGCTCAGCGGTATCTAGATGCTTCCCCCATCTACCAGAGGCGTTAGAGACTATTGTTGGGTGGGAAATGTCCTTAATAATTTGGCTCAGAGGCCTCCTTGAGGCATGAGGTTCTTTTACGTGCTGTAAAGCTACGACACGGGACCCACGGCTTAAAGTCCCTCCCAGAGGACTTGTTCCCTGAAATTTTCCGCCCTTAAAATTCCACGACCCCCGCTGGGTTTGAACCTGCGTACCTTGAGTCATGAGATGGGAACGTTACCCCTATACTACGGAGGCCGCTATCCATATGCCATACTACATGACATCATGAAAGACAGATGGTTAAGCAGTAATGCCTTAAGACTCATTCTGGAGGTCTTAAGTTCAAATCCAAGCTGGAACACTGACTTTTCTGACTGAGGATTTCATGGTTTTCCTGAGTCTTTGCAGGTAAATGCTGTAGCACCTCAGATAGGCCATAGCTGCTTCCTTCCAATTCGTTTCCAATTTGTCAATATTCATCAATCATTCTAGCATTCCATGCTTAAGTTCTATGTCTGTGAGGGTGTATCAATATCAAATAATGACACAGATCGTTATATCATTAGTGAATTACTTCATTACATTTTCAAACCAGAACACCAGAGATCTTGTTGAATACATATGACATTTCTTCTATAATGTAGCCAACTCAAGTTATGATGGACCCTCAAATATGTTTTAAAGAAAGTTTAGTCCAGATGTTGAGACTATTGTAAAATAAACCAGGCAAATAACTTATATAGTAAGGGTTATATTGGACTGATGTGCACCATAGAATTTACTTCAGAACTTGTAATCTGGACCCTCTGTTACCAAATTCCACACTTTGTTAACAGTTTGAGGACCGGTCGCATGATACCACGATTTTAGGACACGTTAGGTTGTAACACACTATACCTTGCTCTGGCGCCACCCAAGTTGCACGCAGCTGCGTAATAAAACTCTGGAATGTTTGCTTACTTGTCAGTAACTTGACCTCGCTGTTTTCTTAACCCACTATAAAGGAAAATGCTTTGCCTTTGTATGTATCAGCCAGTAGTTAGTGGTGGCATATGAATCAAGGACAAATTCTTATCCGATGAGCTAGCTGACTTGCCTTGTGAGACGTGTAGTCATGGTGATTCAGAGCATGCCAGTAACAGGGGAGAACAAAGAATTGTGGCCACAGATGGTAAAAATGACAGTGGCGCCGACAATAATGCGGGTAATAACATTGTGGGGACAGTAAAAAATCTATAAAAATCACAAAAATCTAAACCCTGATTCAAAATTGAAATACAAAGCATTTCTGGTGAATGTGGCAAAGGCCTGGGCTACAGACCAGATGATGGTGGCAGAACCAGAGTCAGACACAGACTTAGTGCAAACAGGCCTATCAACTCCTGCCCCACACAGGCCTCATGTGGATCCCCCAGGGTGACTCTTGGGTGATATGCGGAAATATACCCTTGTGAAAATTGTGAAGAGTGAACATTCCAAGGGGAAGCATCCTTCTAGGTAATGCCATGTTTGCACAGTTCACAAAAAAGGAGTATGTCTACATTTGCAAGTTCTGTGTAATGCCACTTCACAAAGGGGAATATTTCCAGAAATATCACACCCTCAAGCACAACTATGAGCATTGGTAAGTGTTCTCCAAAAATTTTAGTTCATAAAATTAATTAGGAGATTTTATATTAATTTTTAAAGTGAACAGTGCACAAGTTAGGATAGTATGTTTAATAATGGCGGCCCCAGGGTGATTTAAATATTTAAATCCCTGGTCTGCAATGAGTTAAGTAGTCTTGGTAAGTATGCATGTGGATGAGTAAACAAATATAAAATTGTTCTTGCTCGTGTCATGTGTGACTTATTCTTTAACCCTGAAGATGAAGGTGACATTTTCCTCTGAAATATCAGTTGACTTTCAACAGACTACATATAATTGTACCTCAGAAGATAGAACCCTTCATAACCATCACTGTGAGAACCTCAAATCCTAAATGTGAAATCCTTGTGCATTCTTGTTTTGCAAAGAATGGGTGTGATTCACACATATTTTGACAAGCTGTATGTGGTTGGTTATTTAAAGATGCTATCACTATTGAGAGTATGTAGATTCTCAAATAAAATGTTTCATGAATGTTGAATATTTGGTGCCATGAGAATTGAGAGAGGAAACTGAATGACTTAGAGAAAACCTGCTCTAGTCCCACTTTATCCACCAGAAATCCCACATGACCTAACTTCAGATATTTGAGTGTGTATATTTTCCCACTGGCTTTGTGAATAAAATTATTTCTGCATTTTCTTTGACTCACTAATTAGTGCTATGATATGCGATTCCCAGAGTTGAGCCTCACTCTAGCCAAGATGGGTGCTGACATATTGACGTTCCCATCAGCTTTCACATTCGCAACTGGAGCAGTGCACTGGGAAACACTGCTCCGAGCTCGTGCCATAGAGAGCCAGTGTTATGTCATTGCAGCAGCTCAGACTGGTACCCACAACAGTAAGCGGTCTTCATGGGGACATGCAATGGTTGGTAATGGTCAGTCTGAACTTACAGAAAATTTTTAATGGTGATGGCAGAATATCTGTTATGGGTTTTAAACAGTCTACCATATGTGTGTGTATTTAAGCATCTGAAGTTCTAATTTGGACTCAGTGTCGCTTTGAAATTTTCTGTTGCTGTCCTAACAAGGACTCTGATCACCTTTTGAATTTCCTTTTTCAGTCCTAATCTTAAGGAGATAAGGTCTTGGTGTTTCCCATTCTGATCCTAATGTAGACACAATCCAGAAATACATAGGCAGTTGTTTCTTGATTAATTAAAAATACAGTGGTGCCATAACCTTTTTGCAAAAATAATGATCTGAAGGAACCACTTGGGACAAAATACTGGACATGGTTAATAAGAATGGAAAATAACTAAATAAGCAAATTAATTTTCTGGACATAGAATCATATAAAGTTCATGACCACTGGTACAAAATCATGCCTCTACTATGGCTGATTAGGCGCAAGTTAAGTCCTATTTACAACATCACAATCTGTTTCACAAATATAAATTTTATTATCATCATTCCATCTTCTTATGCTCCCAAATGGTCACTTTCCAAGAAGTATCAGGCAGGTTGTAATGTAACACTTTATGTATATCTGTGGGGTATTGTATTTTAATCTCAAGTAGGTTAGTTGCAGTCCTGATATTTTCATGGTTTTCCTCATTCTCACCAGCCAAAGGCCAGGGCAATGCCTTGAAAGAGGTATGACTCTTCTTTGTTACTAATGAGCTCATATTTTTTGACACTGCATTACAATGGCAGTTGATACAGAAAAGTTAAATATATAAAGAATTGAAAATCCAACAGGTATATTTCTTTTATCCTTGGTAATGTCCATATCACTGTATCTTCAGTTGAATGAATTACTGTAGCAATCCTAGAATCATAAATATCACAACATTTTTTATTTTCTCTCATCTCCAAAAAATTAATTTTTATAATAAACTTGTGATTGTTACATAATATTGAGTGCTGTCTAAGGTGTTATAAATTGAAAATTTGAAGATGTAAACATGGATGTGAGGATAATATTAAAATGGCTCTTAAAAGTAATTGAATAGAAAGTTGTGGACTGGATTCACCTGACTGAGGACAGAGTCCAGTGGCTCCTGTGAATGCGGTGATGAACCTTAGGGTGCCCTGGAAAACAGGAAATTTCTTTAGTAACTGAGAGAAAGAGTACTTTGCTTCTTGAAGTCAGTTATTTAGGGACTTTTAAAGCAAATTCTCATAACATTGTGTATTGTTTGTGGAATTCAGGTTGTGGATCCATGGGGAACTGTCATAGCTCAATGTTCTGAAGGCACCAATGTTGCCATAGCCGAAATAGACTTATCATATGTGCAGAAAGTGCGATCATCAATGCCAGTGTGGCAACACCGACGAAGTGATTTGTATGCAGATATGTCACCGTTGAAAACAGCTGTGAAGTCAGATGAAATTGATGACAGTGCTGTATACAGATTTGGTTCAACAACAGTGCATGGAAGCACTGTATTCTATAAAACAAACAAAACTCTGGCTTTCACAAACAAGAGGTGTGCAGTTCCTGGGCGTATCCTTTCTTTAGCATGATGATTCTTTTTTAGACTATTAGTAAACAGATTTTATATTCAGTTCAGTTGACATGCTAATTGCGAAGGGCTGGTCTTCTTATTTCTCTTTTTTTTTAACATTTCATTTTATACTTGTTGATGGAGAGAAAGTTTCCAATGTCTTCTGTCTTCCTCTTCCATTTCTTGCCGTCTCTTTTCTCTCCTCTTAATGTCGTCCAGTTTCTGCCACAGTTGTACTTTTTTGTGGTTTATTTTATGGCACTGTAGGTATCTCAGACTATGGCCCTGAATGGTATGATTAATAAATTAGAAAGGATGTGGAAGGAGATGGTCATCGCCTAATTGAGGTGTTTTCCTGGCATTTGCCTCAGTCACAGTAAGCAGTGTCCTAACCAAGATTTGAACTGTGTGCCTCCAGATACAAGTTTAGGGCATTACCGCTAGATTGATCTTGGTCAAAACCGTTTTGTTCTGCATGCCATCCTACCTCTAACTAGGCCATGACTGCTTCCTTACATTTCCTTTTCAACTTGCTATTCATTTATCAAAGAACAATTTGACACTATGGCCCAAGCTACTGCGTGAGTTGTTGAGTATACCATAAATTACTAATAAAGGAAGAGATGCTGGCTCTTAGGCAGACTGTACAGTTGTTTTCCTACTACCAGTAATTTGTTAGTTGTCCAGTCTGTACCCATAATCAATTGATAAAGCATGTGTTCTGGTATTTGAATTTCTTTTAACAGATGCATTTCCTTCATTTTTCTGAATAAAACCATAGAACATATAGTATATTCCATAACACAAATTCCAGATGTGCTGGTGATGCCAATCCGCTGTGTACAAACACTGAAAGATTTGGAAAATGATGAAAAGGAGGACCTTTTCATGGTTCTGAAGAAAGTGAACGAAGTGGTCCGAACTGTTAGTAAGTCATCAGGTGTTACCACTGGTATTCAAACTGGAACATCTGCTGGCCAGACTGTTAAGGTAAGGGAATGCATGGAGTCTATGTTTTTATCAAGGAAATGGACAGAAAGAATTTGTAAGACATCTCAAATCTTAATCCCATAAGTATGAAATCTTACCCAGCAATATGAAGTTTTAAAATGTTATGCTGATTTATTCTCTTATCAGACTTGCTTCTTGTAATTAGCTAGCTACACAGAGAAGGTCAATTATAAGAAGTAACATTGATAATATGCACCACAGACATGAGTCCAGTCAATATCTGTTCCCTTACAATTAGTGAATGTCCTGACAAAAGAATTCATAAACAAGAAAGAAGTACATAAAAGAAACAAGGCACAAACAATAACTCGTAATAACTATTATATACTGATGTCATTTATTTAAAATTAATATTTTATCTTCTACCAGAAAGCTGCTTGAAGTTTCAATGAAAACATGTCAAAAACAAGCTTAATTAGCAATGCTTAATCTCAGTGACTTGAAGTGTCCTGTAAAGACAGCTGTTGTTACACGAATATACTAGATGAAATAACAGTATGCATTAAGATGTTCTGCTGTCTGTAAATGTTTCAACGAAGGTTGCCAATGGAAAACAAATTTCCTAAATAAATACCACCCATTCTTCTGCAACCTGTAATACAGCATGATAATTTCCGTCCATGACACAACAGAGTCATGGTTCTTTTGGTTATAACTTGATGAGTTACGACAGCCAGTGTTTGAGTGATTTGGCCCTTAGATACAAACTGAATACTAACAGACACTTTACAATTGCATTTGCTTCCATATTACCATCATACCCCATTTTCTTATCATGTACATTTTGCAACTCATTATGTGACCACACTTTATTCTGGATGATCTCAAATGCAACAAATTCATGGAACATTGAAAACAGAAAAAGAAAAAAAATTAGGGGAGAAACAGACACACAGATAGCAAGGTGATAAAACCACCTAACCAAAGTTAAGGGAGATACACAGACAGGAAGGTGATGTGATAAACCTAAAAAGTTAGGGGGGCACACACCAACAGATGGACAAACACAGATGGTTAGACATACAGCAAGGTGATCTCATAAGTGTCCTTTTATTTTTTTCAAAATAAGGAAAGCAGACTAAAAAAAACAAATCCCATCTCTAGCTATGGTATCCACAGAAAACCCTTTCACTGGATACACTCATGTATATTAATCCATGCTGCCACTGGAATGCATAAAAAGCAACAAAAAACAAACTCCATGGCTTGTAGTTTGCAAGCGAACTATACCAACTGAGCGACTGCCGCTTGTTGGCGAAGTTAGTGCCAACTTTAATCAGCAATGGAAATATGTTTTTAGCAATGCCAACCAAAATGTAGGCACTCACTCCCTTACAGAAACAACTGAAGGGCAAGCCTGAGTCTTTTATTATACAGTGAAACCTCACTGATCCAGGATTATTATTAGGATAACGTTTTCTTTTGCACATTATGAACTTGATAACATTGCCTAGATCACCAAGTGTAATAAAATAACAATGCAGAAGGGGAACACAAACCGAAATAATTAAATTTTTTTAAACATGATAACAATAATAATAAGTATGTAGTCTACATAAAATGTTTTTAAGACTGATTTCAAAACTTTTTACATTTTATGGCAAGTAAACTTATTCTATGATATGCAATCTAAGTTTAAAAATAAAGGTGTATTCCTGGAAACAGCTTCTTACAGTGGAGATTCTTCAGTTTCATGCTCTCATGCATGAACTATCAACTCCCAAGTTCAAGTCCAAGTCACATTGCGACTGACGGTCAGTCAGTCAGTCAGTAAGGGCTCATGACGAGATATTTATTACCTTTAACAGTTACAATCTTGTTTTTGTGGGGCGCCCTCTCTGACAAGATGACGGGTCTGCCTTTTGTACGTGCTGCTGGCCCTTGCCAGTGCAGTCTTTCTAGGGCCTGAGTCCCTTGGGACTCGAGACCATATTTTACTGTCTCAGATTTGAGACTTCCCTTTTCATCGCCTCTTACGACTCGCAGGGTCATGGTGGAGGTGCACCCTCCAGGGGGTGTATCCTACGCCAGCTAGCTGGGAGACGGGTGTTCTCTCTTGTCTATAGTTTGAACTCCCTACTAAGTTACAAGGAATTCCACAGGAAGTAACAGAAACTGATTGAACATTTATTAAATAAGAAACAACTCAGAAAAAAAAGCAAACAATGAATGAGCACAGGAGACTAGAATATTTCAGATTACCAAGAAACGGCTTGTCAAACTCAATCTAGAAAATCAGCACAGATAATTACCTTTACATTGCAACGGGACAGCCATGTTACGGCACAACTTAAAAACGCTGCTCAGAAAATCCATATGAACAATTACTTCTACAGTTGCATAAAGAATAAACAATAAACCACACACGTGGCTTGGATATCTCTGATTACACATGAACAGCCATATCATGGAACATACTCGTAATTCAACTAGGAAAATCAGTTCAGACAATTACATTACATTTCCAGAAGGGAACACGTAAGGTTCAACTCAAACAAAAATCAGTCACGCTAATACCAATACTTCTCCACACTGGGAACAGGCAGCAATGCAATACCATGATAATTCCACCTTCAGTATTTCAAGAAACTTACAATGCTTACACTGGCTTACCTGGAGAAGGCCCTCCCTGCCTGGAGTCTACCGGCCAAACCATCCCAAATAATTTATTACAGTGCTGACCGAAAGGGAATTTAGTTGCGGAAGAACACGTCCACACTCAGCGACGTCCAGGCAGGAAGAGAGCGACTTCAGTCGAACGGGCAAGGACATAGGGTGCAGGGATGACGTAGGCACGCCACGGATTACCGAGCAAAAAAAAAATGAAGAAGAGTGGGCGGAGAACAGTGCAAGCCGCTGCTGCCATCATTCGAAGAGGGCACCTCTTGCAGTGAGCCGAAGAGATCGGCTCAGAGGTATTTGGCCCCGCCTCCACATGGGGTTCGAATTGTCAACTGACCTTATCCCTTGCTTATAACATCTCAGCATGGACCACATAGTAAACACCTGTTCTATTGTTGCGTGTATATTGCAGGCATTACCTAGCAACGGCCACTATTGAGTCACCACTTAGCAATGGGAATGTGTTTACTGAGCTGTTGTCTGGAAATGGGTATGGTATATCTGCCTGTCTTGCAGTCATTGCATAGCAATGGCCCTACATGCCACAATATATTTGTATCCATGAACAGTTTTTGAAATCTAACAAAATTTAATACAGGTGCTTTAAGAAAATGTAGCTGTGGCTAGCGAAATATTTTGTGAAATTTTTGTTGACTATAGAGGAACATTGTATAGCTTATTGTAGATGCAGAGAGATTGTAAAGCTATTTAGGTTCCTGCTATCACTGTACACTCTGGTAGGGACTTGCATCAACCTGCAACACTCCACTTTTCATGACTGCTGTGAACATCTTATAGTGGACTGTAGGTGCAGAGAGGCTGTAAAACTGTCTTGTTCTTCTAAAGAGTTGTGACAATGGTGTATAACACTCAGAATCACTGGGTTTTCTTGTTTTCTAGTTTCTAGAATATCAGACAATGGATGAAGTCCAAAAATCCAGTGATTCTGAGTGTATTGTTCTTGTGAACACAGTATTGAACCCTTGGGTTTCATTAGAGGCAAGGAATTTCTTAACCAGCTGAGTGACTTAACTTCTCATAAAGTACTCTGTTCCATAAGCCAAGTACAGGGTGTTCAATCATCGAGGAAGCTGGGGGATCAGCGTGAGTCGGATACAGCATTTCTCAAAGATTGCTGTTGTAACTGCCGATAGTGAGTGAGTCATTAGCACTGATAAATGCGCTCTCTCTCTAGCGTAGAGTGGATGTATTGTTTCTCTGCAACTACTGTGCCCTTCCCCGCTAGCGAGAGTGCAGTCATGTCGCTGATTCCCTCACATCAGTTTCTGTACATGCACACATTCAAAGGAATACTGTAAAAAGATAACATACTGTGCTTTATAACAGGTGTTGGAAGTGACCCCCTTCTGCTTGCAAACATGCCTCGCATCACATAAATAAATTATGCTAGACTTTCTGAAGTTTGTCCATGGCAGTTAAACTAATTACGCGTGTAAAATCCTCACGCTATACAGCAAGTGCCATTACATAGTGAAAAGGTGGGGGTGTGGTGTGCTGTAAGTCTGCGGTGAATCATTGGCCCCATTATTTTTTCCACAAAACCATGAACTCTGACTGCTACATTAATGATATACTGAATCTGTTCTTGAAGCAGCTGAATGCTGAAGAAAGACAGTATGGGTATTTTCAGCAAGATAATGCTACAGCACATATGGCTAATGCAACCATGGTTGCAATATGGGAAGTGTTTGAGGACAGAATAATCAGCAGGGGACTGTGGCCTCCCAGATCTCAGTTTTTGCGATTTTTATCTTTGGGGAAACCTAAAGGGAAAAGTCTACAAGAATAATCCTTGCACCACTGAAGCTCTGCAGAATGAAATAACATGCATAATTACATCAATTGCTGTGGGCCAACTTCAGAAAGTGTCACAGAATTTATTTATGCGATGTGAGGCATGTTTGTAAGCAGAAGGGGTCACTTTCAGCACCTGATATAAAGCATGGTACATTTATGTTATCTTTTTACAGTATTCTTATAAATGTGTGCATGTACAAAAACTGATGTGAGGGAATCAGCGACATGACTGCACTCTTGCCAGCGGGGAAGGGCACAGTAGTCACGGAGAAACGATCCATCTGCTCTACACTAGTGAGAGTGCATTTATCAGTGCTGAGGACTCATTCTGCCATCGGCAGTTACAGAAGCAATCTGTGAGAAATGTTGTATCTGACCCACGCTGCTCCCCCAGTTTCCTTGATGGTCAAATGCACTGTATTATGTTTGTTGCAGCTGATCCATCACTTCTTTTGTTTTTGCAGCACCTCCATGTCCATGTGTTGCCTAGAAAGTCAGAAGTTGTGGGTGATGATAATGTCATGCTTGATGCTCTTCATGATAGGCAAGAGAGGTCACTAGCTGAAATGTCTGAAGAAGCTTCTATGTTGAGACCATTCTTTTAAGTGAGGTGAGTCAGATCTTGTTGAATGATACAAATGATTATCCCTTCACATTGAACACCACTGTGCTTAGTGAAGCATTCTTATCATTAAAAAAATTTGAGTCAAGTGACACTTATTTTAACATTGTAGGCAATGTTTTATGAATAGATTAGAAGTCAGTCAGTTAGTTGTGGGAGTGGGGTGAGACTGAGTCCCTTGAGGTACTGTGGCCTCAAATGGGACTACTGTAGCAGTCTCTGTTGAGTTAGTTGCAGGAATGGGGTGAGACAGTCCGTTGGTACTGTGGCCTCAAATGTAACTACTGTACTAGCCCCTGATGAGTTAGATGTAGGAGTGGGGGGAGACTGAGTCCCTTGAGGTACTGTGGCCTCAAATGGGACTACTGTAGCAGTCCCTGATGAGTTAGTTGCAGGAATGAGGTGAGACAGTCCATTGATACTGTGGCCTCAAATGGGACTATTGTATGAACTCCATATGATAGTGAGTAAGGAGCAATGATGGAATGATTACTGGCAGGGGAAAATCAGAGTGCTAAGACAGAAACTGCCACACTGCCACTTTGTCCATCATCACAAATTCCACATGAACTGCCCTCAGACTGAGTCCATGCCTTTATGGCGAGAAGCTTGCAACCAAGCACTGGAACTATGGCATGGCCAATAGATAAGTAAACAAATGTCTATGTGTAAAACATTTTAATTCAGATGTATGTCAACCATTGCAAGTACATCTCTGTTATGTGTTAAAAGACTCCAGAACTTTTTAGCATGCAGATTCACCAAGAGTACTGCATCACAATCCATTACACTCTAAAATGCGTTAAGAAAATACAGTGGAACCTCGCTTAATGAGCACCTCTCATAACGAGTAATTCGCATAACGAGCAAAACAAACTGTAAAAAAATGACTCGCTTAACGAGCGATGTTTCGCATAACGAGTGACGAGAGGGGAAGTCCCGGATTGTGCACTTGTTACATCAGTCTGTGTTTAGCACTTGTTCTGCTAGCATCTTAGTGTTGCTTGTGATCACACATTTTTCCAAACTTGTGTTCAGACATATTATTTGTGATTTTTTTTTGTGCAAAGTTTAATAACCCTTGCAAAAATGTCCCTGAAGAAAAAGCCGCAAAAAGACAGCCGTAAGAGAATAAAAATAACCGTAGAAATGAAAAGTAAAATCATTGAAAAGCGAGAACGAGGTGTGAGCGTGGCTGATCTAGCACGCACATACAATTGGTCTACATCAACGATTTGCAGGATTTGGAGTTGCATTGTGTTTCACAGCAAGAAGTTGTGGAGGATAGTTTGTCAGAGGAGGAGGAGGTAACAGCAAAGCAACAATCTTCTGGCGCAATAAGAGAAATGCTGAAAGCATGGGAAACTGTTGCATTGTACATTGAGAAGCATCACCCTAATAAGGCAGTGGCTATGTGCGCTACAAATTTATTTAATGATAATGCTGTGTCGCATTTTCACCAAATTTTGAAGCATCGGCAAAAACAAATGTCTCTAGACAGCTTTCTAGTAAAAAAGAATTAGATATGTATCATAAATAATAAATTAATTATTTCGATTTTTTTTTTTCGTTTTCTGCAAATCAAATTCGCATTCCAGGTTGGTTCATTCCGCATAGAAGAAAAGATGATTATGATTCACGCTCCTTAACAATGTATATATAATTTTCTTTGAATAAACGTTATACAAGGTGGTTCAAATATGACCGGGACTGATTTTTTTTTTGAAACCATAATTGCCAAACACTTACTTGAACATGTCAGTCTTCAACATACTCCTCTCCAGAGTCAACACATTTTTCCCAACGTTCTGGAAGCCTGGTTGTGGTTGGCGGCGTATCCACTCCCGAACAGTCTGGATGACGGTGGCATCGTCCACAAACCGCATGCCTTGCATTTCTGATTTGAGCCTTCCGAACAGGTAGAGATCACTTGGGGTCAAATTGGGACTGTATGGTGGATGTGTCAGAAGGTTCCATTTCAATTTCCTGAGGGTTTCCATTGTTGTTTTGGCTGTATGGGGATGTGCATTGTCTTGAAGGAAGGCTACCCGCTTTCCACCTGTCTTCCGCTTGGATCGGACCTTTTCCTTCACGTCTGTTGCCAGGGAGTGTGCCATCACTTTTCCTACCAACGGCTCCTCCGCACTCCTTGGGTTTGGGAGAACTGGTATGCCGCCACTCGCATGATGACTGCTGCAACTCAGGAATGAAGTAGTGCACCCATGTTTCATCGGTGGTCACTATAGACTTCAAAAATGCATCACCTTCATCTTCAAACTACTGTAGGAGACGACTGGCAGCTTGCATGCGCAACATTTTGTTCACGTCCATCAAAGTGCGTGGTACCCACCATTCATTCACCTTGCGATAGTGCAGGTGGTATTTCACGATGTCTTCTACACTACCAACACTGATGAGCAGCATTGCTCCAAGTTCCTTGATAGTGATGCACCTATTCTCATGAATAAGTGCGTCTGCATGATCAATGTTTGGCTTGGTGATGGATGTTCACAGCTGACGATAATGTGGTTCATTCTCCACGCGCTCTCAGCCGTCTCTGAAGCACTTACACCACTCAAACACATGGGTCCGTGAGAGACACTCTTCCCCATACTGTTGTTGGAGTGTGGTGAATTTCAGCGGATGGGACGTTTTCTCCAACGAGGAATTTCATCACAATGCATTGTTCCATGCTCCGCGGTACCTTCTGTTCACTCATCACTCTAGAAACTCCCAGACAGGACTGAACAGGTTCTAACCTGAACAGGAGGGAGGGTGGAGGTTGTGGCTTCACTCTCTCAAGGTCGCACAGCTGCTGTGCAGTGCGACTTGTTTACACACAGATCAGTCCCGGTCATATTTGAACCACCTTGTACATAAAATTTTTTGAGTATTTTTTCAGCATGGAACGCATTATCGTATTTTACATTAATTTATATGGGAAAAATTGTTTCGCTTAACGAGTGTTTCGCATTACAAGTAAGATTCTGGAACGAATTATGCTTGTTAAGCGAGGTTCCACTGTAAATTATTATATACTGAAATTTTGGTTACTTAGTGTTTTATGTAACAATGGATTAATACCTACTTACATTAACGATGTTATTTTGGCTTTGGAAGTTATATAGGTGTCCATAAAAACCTTTCTGTTTTGTTAGGAGATCCAGGCATGTGAACTTTTCTTTCAAACTCTTCTTTAATTTGTCACAGAATTTGATGTGATACAACTATCACACATTCTTGTACACTCATTACTAGTGGTGTCCTTAAAAGAATAAACGTTACTCCTGTGTAAATAAATTAGATAGGAACTTATGGACAATCTGTATAACACTGTGAGATATCTATGTCACGAGCCTCCAATAACAGTTTTTATACACAGAATATAGAATACTCTAATTTGTCCGTGGGAACAGAACAAAATCACATAAACCAACGACTGATTTGATGATGTAAAACATCAATCGAAGAATTTTATTCTTGAAGAAAGCAGTCTTCTGGGATGTGGCACCATGTAGATGTGGTGTTAACCGACATTTTGGAGGAACATATCGCCTCCATCTTCAGGGTAGAAGGAAAAATAAGAAATCTGCAAGCGAAGAGACTGTGAGAACCTCCCAGAAGACTGCTTTCTTCATAGTCACCGCTGTGAAAGCTTCAAATCTTACAATTTTATTCTTGTTTTATACTATAACTTTTGTTTTACATAATCCAATTTATTGTATTTTCATGTCAAGTATTCTAATATAATTAATATTATTGTATCCAATTTTATTAATACTGCAGTTCAGTGGTGTATATATGTTAGCCAACTATTTGCCTGATGATGGCTATTAATAGCTGAAACATGTAGCAGAGCCAAAACCAGGCAATGAACTTGATATAGTTGTGTTGTGACAGTCTTAGTAAAGGTAAGGGAATGTTTATGTCCAAGAATACGTTTTTTATTAAGTTTGATTTTGCTGAGGTGATGAAAAATAGACATTAGATGTGAGAAAACATTGTAAGAAGTTATGATATAATGAGGTTCTTGCTGTTGTGGGTAAGAAAAATGTTCTGCAAATTTATTCAGAGTTTCATGAATTTCTTTTGTTCTATCTGCACCCAGTTTCTGGTCGTGATGGAAAATCTGGAGCAGCAGCAGCAAAAGAAGAACAGAAGACTCTTTTGCTGTAGATATCTTGAAACAGTTGTGCTGTGAGATAACCTGCCTGTGGTAGTCAGATGTAAATTCTGATACAGTATGCTGTTCACAGGTCAGAAATGGTTCCTAGGTCATAAGAAGGGAGTGAAGATTAGCAGTTTAGTTACCATACCAGCTCATGAACAACATATGTGGGTCAGTAAAAAGAGTTAAAAAAAGAGACAAAACATGCATAGAATTTTATAAAGCTGGCCATCCCAATATTATTGCATAGCATGAAGTGTGGAGGTACCAGAGGAACAGCCACAAACAGCAAAGCCAAATTTTGTGATGCAGTGTTCATTAGAGGGTTGAATTATGAATACAAGGAACTGAACATATTTAGTTTAAATAATAAAATTGGGGAACAACAAGACGTTCTGGGAAGAACTAATTGCCTACTTTCCTTTGATACGACATGGACTGCATAGAAAATGACACTTCTAACAGTTCTTCATAGCCACGGGAATGTCTTTACTGAGTTGCCACCAAGCAATGGTAGGGGGATATACACACACACACACACTCCTCTGATAAAAGCATGTACTCCATAGGAAGTGACACATCAAACAATTCTTCTGTTGTGTGTATTCATTTCCATGGGAACTTGTTTACTGATCAATTGCCTAGGACTAAAAGGAGAGATACCAAGCTGTTGCCTTGCGACAATAGGGGGGAAACATATACAGACACACAGACTGATGGGAGGGATTTATAAAGTATTCCATTGAGGTGGGCTCAGGTAGCATGATGATATTGTGCCGCACACCTTGCAACCAAATTATTACTATAAATTCGGGGATGAGGCACCCAAATTTCTTATTCTTATCCCAATGCTGTCATCAGTTTTGTCATGGCACACAATTGTGACACCCAAATTCTTATTATATCCCATGCAGCCACCATCAAAGTTTAGAATATCCCACCTAATTGCTACCAGTTAAAACATCTGTGGATAGCTCCTACTCTGCCCAATGACGTAACTATTACGAATAGCCCAATAAACACTGAATATGGGAAAACAAGAACAAATATAATAAAATCAACAAGTACATATATACAACCATAAAATTTACACAACACACTATTACATTCTTGGTTATTACCTCTTAAATCCATTAACCAAATTGTTTTAAATGTACATAGTACAAACCAAATTTTCTATTCCAACATTCAGACAGTAAATCAACTTATATCTCATAACATTTACTTGCCAAACAAATTCTGTATCCTAATGACCAATTTAGAAGTAAAACCTTATATATTGTAACAAACATTTAATAAATCAAGTATTACATCCTAACAGTCAATCAGTGGATCAAATTTCATACTCTGCAACTAAAGTTCATATCCTGACAATTAATCATGTAACCAACTTTTATATTTCAACAAGTCATTAGCAAACCAAATGTTACATCCTAACACTTAATTACTGAACCAAATGTTTATATCTTAGCCATCAGTCCATAAATAAAAATTTATGTAATCCAATAATTAATCAGAATTTACATTTCAACAATTTATATGCTAAATTCTTTTGACAAATTTTACCCTAACAGTTAATTAAGAAACCAGAACTATATATTAACAAATAATCAGTGGACTGAACACAGGCAAGTACTCACGTTTACGAAAGAGGGTGAAAATGAAGACGTCTGACTCCATTGCATCTCCTTCCTACCACACGACTGTTCTGAGCGACTCCTAAAGTCAAAGTGCTAGCAGCTTCTCCTGTCTGAGCCCCTAAAATTCAACATCATGAAGATTCTGCTCACTCAAAATCCTAAAAGCGGCAGAGTCCTCCTGGCCTATAATCTGTTACATGAAGGCGAGAGTTGCCTCTGTGTCGTTCACCTGATTTGTCAGCAACTTCTGTAAACTATACAACTGAAGCCGGATGCTTAAGGAATGTGCTACGTCTAAAGGTGATCTCAACTCTGGTTTCTGGCTGGCCAACCTGTGGTTCACCTAACGTATTTCAATTTTTAAATTTTTAATAAATTTCTAGCAAACTAAACACAATATTACCCCTTCGTTAAATAAAATCATACCCATTAATAACCTGGGGCACAATGATATACATACCAAGTTTCATAAAGATTGTTTCAGGCATTCAAAAGTTGACAGGGGAGGATTGACAGACACAGACAGGATGGAGATCACATAAGCCTACTTTAGGAAAGTATGCAAATAAAAGTAACTGGACACTCCATGTGCCAATAATGGAACCTAACCACATAACCCAGAAAAATAATGAATTATTTACATAGAGGAACTACGAAGGGGTACCCAAAAGAAACCGAACTTATTTTTTTTTAAACTTATTTATTCAAATTTTAAGCACAAACCTTCAATCCTCTTCAAAGTACTCTCCACTTACACTAATACACTTGTCTAGTCTTTTATTCCATTTTTCAAAACATTGTCTAAATTCATCTTTTGAGATGCTTGACAGCACCTCCGTCGTTTTTTCTTTCACCCCAGCAACATCAGCAAAACACTTTCCTTTCATGTCTCTTTTCATTCGAGGAAACAAAAAAAAAGTTTTGATCATTTCGGGACTCTTCTTTCAAAGCACAGCATGCTTCCACGCAGCAGTCAGCAGTCGTGGCACGAATTTCGCAGCCACCCTTTTCATTCCCAAATCTCCTGTCAAAATTCACTGAACTGAGCTCCAAGTCACTCCCGACAGCTCCACAATTTCTTCAATGGTCCGTCGTCGATCTTCCTTGATGATTTCACGAATTTTTTCAACATTTTCATGTGTTCGGGCCATGGAAGGACGACCAGAACGAAGTTTGTCATCAATTGACATTTCACCATTTTTGAAACGGGAAAGCCACTCAAACACTTGAGTTTTCCCCATAGCATCATCCTTGTATGCCGTTTTTAACATTTCAAGAGTTTCTGTTCCACTTTTTCCGAGCAAAAAGCAGAATTTCACCGCCGCACGCTGTTCACGAAAATCAGTCATTGCAAAAACGACGATCACACAAAACAGTTGTCACTATAAACTCTTCCAAAACTAGTCCTTACCTTCTGAAGCAACAGTAGTCGGCTTATCGACTCAGGAATGTTAGCTCTATGCGCTCATAGCGGCAAAACATGGTACTACAAAAGCTCTGCCCACAAAAAAATTAGTTCGGTTTCTTTTGGGTACCCCATTGTATTCATTCACACATTACACTTCTGTCCATTATGCAATCCATTTATTATCGCCCTCTCTTTCCACTACCTGTTTCAGCCATATATGGCCATCATCAGGTGTTCCTATTTGCTGAAACTGTTTCACTGTGTAGTATTTGCAACTTCACCTGTCACATGTAAATGTTATATCTCCCACTTAAAATAAACATAATCTATTAAAAATCATTAACAATCAAATCAAGCCTAATAAAATCTCAGTATTTCTATTTGGGGCTGTCGTCCTTTGTCCAATTGTGTTTGGATTCATCTTGCAGCGGCATGGATGTGGTATATATGTAGTTTCCAGTCGTGTTGGTGCAGTTATCATCTGCAATATGTAAAGAATATATTATTATTGTTCATTTGTTATATTTTGTTTTTCCTTTTTTTCCTATGCTAGTTTATTTCTTTATACTCATGTATGCCCGTTTGACTGTGTTGTTCACCCTGTCTGTTAGTAGAGTTGTTTTTGTTTCATGTACACCTGTATAGGCCTTATGAATATTCAGTGTGTATTACGACACCTGAAGATGGCCATTTATGGCCAAAACATGTTGTGTTAAGCGTTAAATGGTGAATAAACAATTGTTGCATTATTGACGGACTCTGGATACATAGACGTTTAATTAAAGATTTGCAACAGGATGCTGAAATACAGAATGCCTAATCCTACTTTTATAACATGACTGGGGGTGTGTGCGCTGCTATCTTGTGTAAAGCTTGTGCTATATTTTGAATATGAGGTTATGTGTAATTCATATGTAGGTTGTCTTTACTGATTCTATAAATGGGATACCTTTCCAAGGTATTCAAATGTTTTCCCATCCTTCCCATTGTTATAACATCCATAGTCACACATGGTTCCATATATATGTCCAGTGGTCAGTATGTGATTCAAATATCAGAGTTACTGTTGTTGTTTCTGATATCATGGATATGTTCCTTAAGGAAATAACATGTTTAATTTAAATGATCATACTAGGAACAACAGAAATAAGTAGATGGATTCTTATTACATATGTAGGTAAATAATAAATTGTACACCTAAAGGATGAAAATTTATTGCACAGATGGAGGGATCAGTCTACAGGGTAGGAGGGCAGAGCAGACCTGAAGGTGCAAACCTTGGCAGAATTGGTGATCACACCTTAAAATTATGGTTTTCTGGGACAATACCGTATAGTCCAGTATAGTCTGTTAGAATTGTCTTGGCACTCTCAGTGTAACTCTATTCCTGCCCATTGCATCAAGACACCATAGTAGACTTCCCCACTTTCTCAGCCACTGCATCATGGCAGTGCCAGCAGACTGTAGATTGGTACCAGCATTTTGGATGAACTAGCTACCTCCATCTTCAGGATAGAAGAATTAAGATGAATGCTAAAAACATTACATGCAGAAGGGGGGAATTACATAAAATAGGGATAAGCAATGGAAAGGTGGGGAACAAAGGATATTCACTGCCATGAAGACGTATAGGGAGTGGAGATACAGCTTGACTGTTCTTGGCCTTGGCACTAGCTGGAGTGGAGTGGATAGCTTCACACCCTGGCTGCTTTACCAACAGGTACCCATTTGATAGGAAGCTGGATTCACTGTCATCAGGACCTCAAATCCTGTATGATCATGTCTCCTTTTACTAGGGGTAACACTAAATGTTTTTTCTTCACAGTAACCATTTATTGGAACAAAATACATACAGATTATATTAAAGGTATTCCCTGCCAACGGCTATACACCTTTGCCATCGTTCCAGCAGTTTCCGTATTTGCACAGCAAACCATTCTTTGGGGGTATGCTGGCGTCACTGCTGGACAACTGCCTGAAGCTCGTCATTGGAGGTGAACATCTTACCCTGCATGACGTCTTTCATTGCATCGAATAGAGTGTAGTTGCTAGGGGAAAGATCGGGGTACCCTAGAGCATCCAGGGTGGCAATAGTCTGCTGATTGCCATGTAGGAGAAGAACGCTGTACCTCCATTTTCCATGGCAGCACAGTGAATTGCAGTACTGATCATTGTCGATGGTCATATTGGGGGCCAGCCAATCCAACAGAAGGATTCCCTCCTGATCCCAGAACACAATCGCCATTTGATTCTGGACAAATAGTCCGGTCGTGACTTCCTGGGAGGAGGGCTCCCAGCGTGCTTCCACTCCATGGACTGGTGTTTCTTTTCTGGAGTCTTGTGCCAGAACCATGACTTGTCGACGGTGACTAGATGCTCAAAGAACTCCACTGGATCCGTGCTTTACAGCTGCAGCAACTGTTGGCATGTCTGCACATCCTGCTTCTGCACAATGGTGAGAGAATGGGGCACCCATTGAGCACAGACCTTTTTCATCTTCAAGTCCTGATGGGTGATGGTGTGCAGTGTTCTGTGTGACAACCCTGTTACGTTCTCTAGTTGATCGAAAGTGATGAGCCTGTTCTCCAGTATCAAGTCGGACACATGCTGGGTACTGTCTGGTGTGAATGCTGTTGCTGGACACCCACTGCTTTTGCCTTTTTCTGCACAGTCCTTGCCATCTTTGAACTCTGCTATCCAGCGAAACACGGTTCTGCAACTTGGTGATGCTTCCCCACATATGGCTGCTAACCTTATGTGAATATGTGAAGCAGCCACTCCTTCCCTCCAGAGAAACCACACAGTCCACTGTTGCCCATGATTGTCTGCTTCCATGTTGTCTGAGCATTGTCCACAACTGCACCTGCACACCGCCATGAATGACGCAGCACTGTTCGACCTGTGCACAGTAGCAACTTCATCTCAGGCCATAGGCGGCACTATAGTATGTCTTCCCACATACACCGGCTCGCATTTGACACTGCTACTTTTCCAAGTTACAGAGGGAGTGTCAATCATTTTTGAACGACCTAAATATTATGCACTTCTGATTGCATGCAGATTAGTAATATACTGTCATGTGATTGACTATAGACAGGCTTTGGATTGATAATTGGATTTTTTTTGATCATAATTATAAGTAACTATAGTGCTATCACTAATTCACATACACTTTACAGTTCACTACAGCATGCATTAAGTCTTGTCAGTCTGCTATTTTCACTGGTTTGTCTGGTAACGGCTTCCAACACCATAGCTTCCTTAGCTTCTGTTTTCACGTTCTTACTGGCCGGTGACTGTCTCAGAACTGTGTTCCTATATGAAGGGGGACCCAAAAATAACCGGAACCGACCTGTTGCGCGTGCATGCTTTGTAGTTATGAGTTGTGCTGCTAGGTGGTGTTAGCTGGGGGTCTCCCGCGACTGTTAGTGAGCTGGCATCAGTCTGAGTTAAGTGGTTTGTCTGTGGTGCTCTGTTGTGTGTGTTCCTGTTTCAACCCTTTGGCGATTAGTGAGATGGCCGACCAGAAGGAACAAAGAGTGCGTGAAATTTTGCTTTCTGTTAGGGGAAGCTGCAGCCGAGACTGTTGGGATGCTTCGGCAAGCCTTTAATGATGATGCTTTGGGGAAATCACAGGTCTACAAGTGGTTTTCCCGTTTCAAATCTGGCAACATATCAACAGAAGACATGCCACACCCCGGGCTTCCTTCGACAGGAAGAAATGACGAAAACATTGCCAAAATCAAACGTGCAATTGATGAAGATCGTCGAAAGACCATTGACCAACTTTCTGAGGAAACGAACATCTCATGGAGCACGGTCCAGCGAATTTTAACCGAAGGTTTGCACATGAGACGGGTGTCTGCAAAATTTGTTCCTCGCTTGCTCGGAGATGACCAAAGAGAAAACCGCATGAATGTTTGCCGCGACTTGAAGAGTGAAGTGCAGAACGATCCAGAATTTCTTAAAAGAATTGTGACTGGCGATGAGTCTTGGTGCTACGGGTACGATCCAGAATCAAAGCAATCATCAAGCCAGTGGAAAACTCCAACTTCACCACGACCGAAGAAAGCGCGTCAAGTGCGATCCAATGTGAAAACAATGTTGATTTGTTTTTTTGATGTGAATGGCATTGTCCACAAAGAGTTCGTTCCGCCAGGACAAACAGTGAACCAACATTTTTACCTGGATGTGTTACGAAGATTACGAGAGAGTGTGCGACGAAAACGGTCCGAAATGTGGAGAAATGGGAACTGGTTGCTTCACCACGACAATGCTCCAGCCCACACAGCTTTGACGGTCCAACAGTTTTTGACAAGCAACAACATGGTGATTGTGCTTCATCCACCTTACTCACCCAACCTGGCTCTGTCGGACTTTTTTTTTTGTTTCCATGGATGAAGAGAAGTCTGAAATGAAAGCGATTCCATGATGTGGATGAAGTCAAAGAAAACACGCTAATTGCCAATCACTAATCTCACTAATCGCCAAAGGGTTGAAACAGGAACGCACACAACAGAGCACCACAGACAAACCACTTAACTCAGACTGACGCCAGCTCACTAAAAGTTGCGGGAGACCCCCAGCTAACACCACCTAGCAGCACAACTCGTAACTACAAAGCATGCGCATGCAACAGGTCGGTTCCGGTTATTTTTGGGTCCCCCCTCGTACAGTGGCTTACAACAATGGGGACTCCTCTGCCACCCGTGCCTCCACCAGGGGAGACTGTATGACAACCTTAAACAGGTCTGTCTCCAACTGCTAACTGCAGACTCACCATTCTTGACTGACTGACTTGTCCCATTGGTAGTCATGATATAGCCTCTGGACAGACCCAACAGAAAACACTGCTTCCCACAATTCCTCTATTACTGCATGATGTAGCTATTGGCGTGGACCCACATAGAACAATGTTCCCAGCAGTACTTCATTGGCTACATGGTGTAGCATGACATATTCCATCACTGTGTTACTGTTTAGTGACATAACCTAGTAACAAACATCTGACTAAACTATTCTGGCTTTAGCGGACATGCCACAATACCTATATGACTAGCAGATGTTATCCACAGCAACACTGTGCAGTGTTTGAAGCCACATTCAGGTTGCGTTACAGAAACATGCTAGTGGTACTTCATTGGTTACGTGGTGTAGCATGACATATTCAATTGCTGTGTTACTGTTTACTATGCTATAACGTAGTAATGATCATCTGATTAAACCGTTCTGGCTTTAGCTGCCATGCCACAATACATATATGACAAGCAAATGTTATCCACAGCAACACCGTGCATTCTTTAGAGCCGTTTCATACCACATTCATCTTTCATTACCAAAATATCCTTCACTCTCTCTGATGTAGGCAACACTGTACCATGCAAATATCTGACTTCAATACTTGTTGCAGTTAATATCGGTCCTAACCAAGAATTTTTCTTAGCTCACTGTGTGAGACCCTGATAAGTAATGGTGATTTGTACTTGACAATATTATGTCTTGTCTGTAACAGTTCACAGTTAGTCCCTCAGATTTTATGTTCACATATCATTCACAGACAGTAGGGACATAGCCTTTCTGTACCCATCTAGCTAGCTTGTAGCAGGAAGGATATATATTCATATCAGAGTTCTTGAGCTGTCTCTGAGGTTTTTTTTAGGGAAAGTGGCTGCTGTGCACGTATACTGCTCTATGGTCTGAAAGAAAGCATGCCTTGGTAATGTCTGTAGAGAGAATACAGAGGTCAGAGTAAATATTTTCTAGTAGGTATGCCATGCTATACTGAGTTACTTGACAGATTGTGCCAAGTTTCTTCTGACAGCAGAGCCAGAGCTGTAGGGCTTGGGAGTGGAGAGAAGTTTCTCCTTTTGTTTCTGTCCTTTGATTGCTAAAAGAATGGCAGGTCAAAAGAGCCAAAGTGCAAGATTTAGCCCACTCTATGGGCAGCATCAGGTCATATAAATGCCCACACAAGTAGTTAAGGTTAGGTAACAAGCTTAAATGAAGAAATCTTGGGATTAATTTCTGGGAAGAAATAATCACCCACTTTCTATTGATATGGCATGGACAACATAGAAAACGAAAAAATTAGGGTGAACACACAAGCAGCAGGGTATCTCATAAGCCTGCTTGAAAGGACACATACCCCACAGAAAACAAACTAGAGGTAGACACAAAGACAGGCAGCAAGGTGATTTAATAATGTTACACAAATTCTGAGAAGAACTGTAGAATTTAGCTGCTCAGAATCATCATCCTCCTCTTGTCATAACATGAATCTCTTTGTTAGTGAGATGCTACCTCACTGCATAATCTCTTGGGAGGCACAGGTGGATTCTTTCTCTGTTGAGTTTTTAATTTGGAGTGAAGCCATAATAAGGGGCATAAATATGAGAAAGTATCTCAGGTTAGATTAGTGGGTTGGTACGAAGAAGATCACATTTATCTTTAGCAGCAAAAACAATCACTCTTAGTACAGTACAGGTATCTCCCAGTGTATGAAGTTAATTCATTCCATTGAAACTATTCTTAAGGTAAATATTTGTAACTCAAAAGCGATATTCCAATTGCTTTATGTGTAAAAGTTGCCAGCTCATTCACAAGTCCCAGAAAGAGGTCCCCCAATATTTTTGAACCTGTTTTAATAAGTAAATAGGCATTAAAATAAGGACAGTATGACTTGTTTATGATATTGTTGCAAATAAAACTATATTATTTTATTCACATTTATTTTCTCATAGCTGATGCAGTGCAACAATGCAGCTTTGTTATCACATGAACAAAGCCTTCCATTCGCACATCTTTGTGGCTATAAAAGAAATATACACTTCATGCTGGTGGCATGGTAGTGGCAGTACATGATATTAATTTACTGGTGGTTCTACCAGTTCTGCCTTTGCAAAAAAAAAAAAAACTTTTACAAATTTAAGTTGTTCCTTGTAGTGAAAACACATACAAATTATGCTTCTTTGTAGTGGAAAATGCATAAAATGAGGGCACATGTCCTGTCGTGATTCAGTGGTAGACCCACGTTTCAGGGTAATGTCAGTGAAGTTCTACTGATGGCATGGCACCACATTCTAGTATTCTTCATGGTCAGTGTTGTAGGAACTTCAGATTCAATAGTCATTCACCATAACCATGCATAAACTCAAATGGCAAATGGGCAACTGGAATATGTACCTCGTTTAAATGGGGTTTGGATTCATTACAGTAATATAGCAGTGCATTCCAACTAGCTACGAGAAGTTATTTAAATAATTCAAATGTCATAATTGTCATTTCACACTGTAAACTGAGGTCACAAGCAGATATAATAGGTTCCTCCAAAAACTTGGTACTTACCTATCAAAGTACGTCACATTCCGAAAACAGTGATTTTCATAGTCACCACTGTGAGCTCAAATCTCACACATTATATGCTGTTTCCACTTTAACTGGACTAGATAAAACTCTTTTGTGTTCTTAATTTATAGGCTCTTGTATTATGAATTGCCTTTATGAAATATGGTGAAAAGGAAAATACATAATTCACTTCTGTTAAGAAACCATTTCCATATAATTTGAACACAGAAATCTGACATACATGGACACATTACCAGTATCTACATGAAGTAATCTTTACAGTGTGTTAAAACTGGAAAAAAAAAAACACCCGAACAAAAATATTTAAAACAACAAAACCCACACAGAAATTCATGAAACAATGAGCCTTATACTCCCTGCAATATCCTATTGTCTTCAAAGCTCCCAAATAACATGACTATTAATAGTCTTCATTGCAAAACACAGGCATGGAAATTAAATAACATTTTATTTTTAACTGCTTCAAAAATGCACACACCCTAGAACATTATAAAGGTTGCTCAGTTTATGCAGTGAAAATGGCGCTGACACCAAACAAAAAGGCTTCCCCACATGCAGAATGTACCACAGCAGCGTACTTAAGATCACAAAAAATTCGGACTTTCATCTCAAGAGATTGTACTGTGATTCCAGTATATATCTTTTGAAGGACAGAGTGCAACAGAGTTTCTTGCCCCCAGGGACAGGTTTACTTCTTGGTCCCAGGGGGCGGAGCCGGTCTGCCCCGCTCCTTGCCACGTAGTTTTATTCCTGTGGAACAGAAATAGCAAACTACATTTCTTCAAATTATATTTATATGAAAACAGGTGATATTCCTGGACACTTACAAAGACAAAATGAAAAATCCAAGCAATAGGTTGAAGGTTTAGAGAAGTGAAAAGGTAAGGTAAAGCTATCCCTGTTAACAGGCTATGGAGCCCATAGGGTTATGAGATACCAAGGCTCCCACATTTTCTAGACAATCAGCTCACAGACGGTGGTGAGGTTGTCAGCATTATGTGCTGGCTGCCATTTACTCCCAGGCAGGTTCCTGGTATTTGTTTCTATGAGAGGCTGAGTCAACCCCAGTGCCATAGTGTGGCTGGCTGGATTAGTTAGGCCAATTGAAGTATCCAGTGACCTCATTAGGAATCGAACCTCCAACCTTCCAGTTTATAGTATAGTGCATCAACCATTTGAGGAAAACAAGAGATGGAATTAACAAACAAAATTTTTAGAGGTCTTCAGAATTCAAAATCTGTTAAGAAAGACAGAATAAAAAGATAAAGGCTTGGGCATATCAAGAGACAGACAAGGATACTCAGAAGGGCCACTTACCAATAACTTTTTCTATCTTCCCAATAACAACCTGATTGGGAATTCCCCGTCCAGCCTCATAATCATTGATGACCTGTGGTTTTTCGTTTACTTTCTGTGAATACATAAACACACTCTTGTTATTATGGAGATACTTCTTTTAAAACACTCCTAGAGACAGTTTTAACTTATAACACAAGTTTTCTACAAATCAAAATCATGCCCTACAGTTGCAAGCTCCTTCTGACTCCATCCTTTTGCTTGACGTCCCTGCTGAATCAACCTTCCAAGATCCAATGGAATTTTATCATGTTTCAGTTCTTCGGTCTCACGATCCAACTTGGCTGTGTTCTTTGTTGTCACATGCTGTTTGTTTGTGGCAGCTCCCCCTGGAAAATAATCTCATGTATTCCCTACTGTCAACATACTGCCATATACCTTGTTACTGACATACCTCCTTCATTTCAACTGCTATCCTGTGTCCAATATTTTGAAATAATACATGACCAGACTGCTCAAACCAGGTCATGTCAACTACCATAGTTCTAATTTTGGTGCTGTGCCCACTGTGGTTGGTGTATCTGTTCATTTGCCGGGCCTAAAATTGTTGCAAACCTATCAACATACATATTGGAAAGTTGTCTTCCTGGCCATAACACTGTGCAGTTCAGAGACACCCAACATTTCAGACAAACACACCACCTCCAAAGCGTAAGCCAAACAAGAAACCACAAAAAGCAGCAGCAAGACCAGCTTGCTGCTTTTTTGTGTGGCTTACTCTTTGACCCTGATGATGGGGGTGGGGAGGAAATGTCCTTCCGAACCTTTGGGATCTCTCTGAACTCATCATTACAACCCAGAGAACTATATTTTTCATAGTCAATACCATGAGAACATCAAACATATTTTGAAAGATGAATTATACATAAACTATGTTGTTGCTCTCTTGACTATGAGACCTCTTCTGACAAAAAAACATATTCACATTATGAGAACTATTACAGGTGTTTATCATTCTGTGTAGCTGTATCATAATACATAAACAATTAGCTTCTAATGCAAAACTGTCAACAGATTTAGATGTCAGATTGTAAACAAGCATTACTATAGACCTACAGCAATCTTGTAGTACATATTATAGTAAGACCTTACTAATTTGGACTCCCTGGGAGTGAACCCATGTCCAAATTATTAAACATCTGAATTAGAGAAGTGGTACCAAAAATATGTTCAGGGAAGTTACAAAATGGACTTCACATATCTTTTTAGGCAATATATCTTTATTTTGAAACTTAGATTGCACCTCATAAAATAAATTTACTTGTCATAAAATGTAAGTTTCGCCATCAGTCTTAAAAACGTTTTAGGTAGCAGCAATGTGATCATCAAGGTCTTAATGCACAAAAAAAAAAGTATGAATTATTTTAAATTTGAAATTAATGTGAGGTTTTGCTGTATTTGGATTACAACCTAATCAGTTGTAAAAGGACTGAACAAAAATAATTAAACTCAATGTGATCAAGTTCAAAGTTAAGTGGCATGCATATTGGGAAATGTCAACATGCTCAATGAAATGCTCAGATATTACAATGCAATTATATTTTTCATGAGATTACCTCTATAAAAAAACTGGCACTACCTGATTAAATATGATACATTGCCATTATTACATCACCCTCAGATGGTGACAAATGTTTGCAAAGTGTTACACAATGGCTGTGCAACAACAATTAAACATTGTGACACACAACTGAAGATTGCATTCAACTGCCATTGGTCTTAAGATGAATCCGCTTACATTTTGACTGAGTGTCCACCGCAACACCCTGCCGACGTGCTGCATTGATAGCCTGAAGTAAAATATGCAAAATGAGGTGAATGCACTGGCAATATTACAAATATATACACTTTCAAACTGTACTTTAAATAATTTAGGAGCTGGGACAGCTCAGTCAGTATAGCAACTGGCTAAAGGCTGGAGGAGTTGGAGTTGGAGTCCCAGTGAGGCAAGAATTTTCACTTCTCCATGTTGTCCAGTCCCACCCTGAGGTCCACCCAACCTCCTATACAATGGGTACCTGGGGCGTGAAACTGACCACTCTCCTCCAACTAGTGCCGGGGTCTATAAAATGTGGATCTATACATCCATTCCACATACAACTTCATAGCGTAATGCTTAATAAGTTAAGCACAGGGACAACTTTAACTTACCTCTTACTTTATATTTGTACAACTACTGCCAGATAACATATTTCGTTAACCACAAAATTCGGATTAACTCATGAAAAAATACTTTTCGGTGAATACTAAAATCGTGCCGAATCAGTAAAACCATGAACCATTCGCTCATAAATGTACTTCAATCACTGAACAACATTTCTAGGATGCTTTTGTATTTGTATGACTTGTTCCACATCCTACAGTCATTCTGACTTACTTTGAATCTACGGAATGTAATGTATGTATGTATGCAGCACATTACAGGTTAAGCCAGGCAACATACCTGTTCAGACTTCATCGCTGACGCCTTTGGAGCTTTCTTTCTAAGAATTGTTACAGTTTCCCAATCAGCCATTTCCAGCTTATTGATATGCTACGTAATAATTATTTATGCCTTAAATATTCAGTTTTCGCCAACACACCCATCCAAAATAAAGCACGACTACTTGCTTCTACGCGATGCGTTCAAAAAGCTCTATTGAGCGTCAATGGTCAATAGGGCATGAATACTCGGGTTCGCTCGGGTTCGCACAGGTTCTTCATCTACGCTACGAGAACGCAACTTGAGGTTTACAATCCCTGTCGTTTAGCCGCCTGGGTAAATATTGTTGTAGATTGTGTAGAACGTGTAGAACACAGTTTATCACATGACCGCAGATGGCGATATGACGATGTTCGTTCAAAGCGTACGCAGGGCGAACAGTACGGATTTGGAGAGACTTTTTGGCGTGTTACGAAAATAATGAAATCGTGAAGAACGTGAATGCAGAATGTTCCACTTGATTATTGCATCTCATTTGCCACGGTTCAGTCTGAAATTAGTCTTGCCGTTTGTAGAAAATTGAGCATGTATTGTGATCTACCAAAAGTTGAAGTGTGGCTGTATTTTGTGCTTTGGATTTCTGGAGTATTGTATTCAATGTATAATGTTTACTTGTCAGGTATTTGTAAGTAATGTTACCTTTAGATGGAGTGTGTATTTGCAATATATTAGTTAGATTTCTGGTACATAATAAAGGTGTACGATGTAGAGAATCTGCAAACAGTTGATGCGTTACTAACTAGTGTCGAGAACGCCGAGATTTCAGGTTCTAAATGAACGAATCATTCATTTTGCATTTCTCATATAAGTAGGCCTAAAGAGTAATGAACATATCTGAGAGACAAGGGGGTCATAGCACTACATGTCTTGCAAGTGACGTAAATCTCCCACAGAGCGGAATGGTGTGACAGTAATTCCTTAGACATAAACTCGAAAGTTCCCAGGCTGAAATCTCAAGCAGGTTACAGTCGTGACTTAACGGTTTTCATGGTTTCCCCCCTCCAAGTCTTGCCAGGAGAATGCCTGGAAATGATCATGATTACCCCTAAGTCTTTCCAGGAGAATGCCCAGAAATTATTGAGTTTCTTCCAGAACCTTACCTACCAATCCTTAATGACCATTACATTTTGTTTAACAGTTCTGCTTCTTGTATCTAGTATCTTCATTTTCATTTCCATAGATCCTTACTGGCTACCAGAGCCATATATAGAACATGTCACAATTTACATATATTAGTTCTGAGAACAGAAACTGTCCTCTTACAGCTATATTCATAAAAGGAACCATAATTATACAATTCAATAATTTAACCAAAATGTGCAGTTCATCAACTAGACATTAATACCGTATTAAGCTCATTTCTTAAAAATATATATACAAATATCAATTGAAGGTCTTTTATACAATATACCATATAAATGGCATTGTAAAAAATTTAGTTCAGCTTGTATTTAATATAGTTGTCCAATGTATAAAATGAATGGGAATACAATAAATTTTCCAAGTCCAATTTAAATTGTTTTGTATTACGGGACAGATCTTCTATTGGAACAGGTTAGCTGTTAAACACCTTAATCCCAGAATAATAAGTTCCCTTCTGAAAGACTGACAGATGAGATGATGGATAATGCAGATCAGATTTGGTCACAGTATTAATATTGTGTACCCCAGAATTTACTTTAAAATGGTGTCTGTTATTAATCACAAACAGCTAAAATGAATATATGTACTGAGATTTTAGTGGTAGTATTTTTTGTTCTCTAAAATATTTTCTGCATGAGTCTCTATACCTAATCCCCGTAATAATTCTAACTGAATTCTAATTTCATTGAATAACCAAATAATCATTAGTTGTTTGTGTGGACATACCCAGCATTTCAGTAAAACTTGAATTTCGTACTTCATAATGGTTTAATTAAAGTTAATGTTTCTTGTTAATTTAAAATGAAAGTTCCTACAAAAGTGTTTGAAACGTTAAGAAATCTTGCTCAATGTCTGTGACTCCGAATCATGAAAAAGCAATATGAATGACAAAATCTTCTCACTGGAAAGAGGTAGGTCACAGCTATTAGAGAAAAGTCAAGAGATTTTGGAAGGAAGTAGATTTTATTTCTGTGATTGCCTATTAAAGACATGAATTCCTGTAAGTAAGCTATTTTTGTCTTCTGCTGGGCTCAGAATGATGGTTCATGAATTAAATGCAGTCATATGTAAGACATAATTTGCAGTCAGAATTACTGGTTTTTTTTTTAGCATTTTTTCCATCTTCCAGTATTCTAGAGACTAGAAAACACTACATTTTTGAAACTGGATCTGTTTCCATCCTCAGGTGAGGGGTCCAGTGATCAAGGTTAGCTCTTTCTAAGGGACCCAACTGAGTAGGTGTCTTCCCCCTCACCTGAGGATGGAAACAGATCCACTTTCTGAAACGTGTTTTGTAGTCTCTAGAATACTGGGCGATGGAAAAAGTCCAAAAAACCTGTTAATTCTGAGTGTTATACACTGTTGTCAGAATCCTTTAAAATCTACAAGTTGCAGTGTCTTGCTAGTCCAGTTCATTGTTTATGTTGTCCCAAATGGGCTCCTCTCCCTCTCTGACTCCACATGTTGAGTAACTGCCTTCCTTGTCATCCTGCATATGTAGCATGGCAACATTCTTATCGTGATTGCTTTGAAGATGATGGACACGTGTGTCTGTGAAACAAAACTACAAGGTGCCAACACAGTCTTGGCATATATGAGATGTGTTATTCAGTTTCTGTTTCCAAAATATAGAAAATGATGAAATATGACCAAAAAAGAGAGGTCATCAGATTTTGGTCAGGGATTTCAGCGAAAATGGGATCAGTGGAGAGTGAACGGAAAATATAGGAAAACATGTCTTGATTGAAGCTGATACAGATGTTGCATATTTGATACTCTTTTTTTTGTCAATAAAAATTTAAGGCAATCATACATCTCATATTTAAATCTGTTCCATGTGTAATATGTTCATATGATATAAATTACTGACAAGTGACATATATTACTTTATTTAATACAATTTTGTACAAGACATCAGTTGATCCATAATTAGTTGTCCATATGTAATATGAGAGATGTATGGTTTGCTTCAAAATTACTAATAGCAGTACGTTCCAGAATGTCAGTTGAGTATGCTTCTCCAGTGCTTATATTGTTTATATCCCCACACTCCAATCAGCAACATGGTTTTATTAAGATTTGAGTCTTTCATGGCCGTGGCTATGAAGAATGCTGTCTTCTGGGCTGTGGCTCCATATAGCTCTTGTGTCAACTGACATTTTGGAGGAACGTAACGCCTCCCTCTTCAGGGTAGAAAAATCCACGAGCAAGGAACCAGCATGAGCAGGTGGCTGTGGTCTGCAGCCTCACTCGCTGATTTGTATTTAATAAATTTACATACCTCACATGTCAGTCATTTGTATTGTATTGCATTATTTCTCTGTCCGCCACATCGTTATTATTTCCAACTGTAGGAAACTGAAAATGATGAATTTTAGGTGGCTTCAGACGACATAATTTTCATTTCAAGTTTCATAAGTCCTGCCCAGCAGTTCTTGAACTGTAACATGTGGCTGGATGGTCAGGCAGATGTGATCGACCTGATATGGATTCTTGTAGACCGGATGACAATAAATGTTTCTCTTTTAACCCTATAAACACAAACACAGTGCTTGTTGGCTTTGCAGTGATATATATTTCTAGGTTATTCTATGACTGTATGCAGTGCAAATGCCATGTAGCATTGATTGCTGTGTAATCTTGTGTTGTTCTCCAGATTTTGATGGCAGCATTCATGGTGTCTTCACATCTGGATGGTCATTCATCAACCGCAAGAAGGATGTGTCAGACTTTGAATGGGCAATGTGGGTTCCATTTCTGTATGCATCAGCTCCATGGGTGTGTGCCCATCTTGTGGTTGCTGAGATTGTTCGGTATGCTTTCAAGGAGGTATGCTGTGAGAAAGATGGTCATACGTGAGGCACATCTTATCTGTCTCTGGATGTCACCCATTGGGATGTGTGACAGAAAAGTTGCTTCAAGGATTTGTGCAGGATTTTCCTGTTAGTGTGTTGTTTGTACCACAGTGTCTCACTGTATCATGTAATAGGTACTTTGGGATGTGTCCTAGTGAAAGGGCATAATATGATCATCAGGTTATTTATGGGCTGAGAGTTAATGTGCAGTAGAAAGTTAATATTAAACACTGTGCCATGAAGAGATGTGGGAAAGTGGAGGTGTAGCTCCACTCTTGCTGTAATTTTGCATCAGATGGAGGTGAGTGGTCAGCTCACCCTGGAGAAATGAAGAATCTTTGCACCTTCTGGGGATGCACCTCAGTTTTCTTCATTGTCTGCCTTGTAGCCTAGGACTGTTATACAGGGTGCCTCTCCTGGCTCCTGCTAATTCTGATTTCACGTTTGGGCCAGGGGATCTTAAGATTCACAGAACACTCACTGTTTAAGTTTTTTTAAAATTTACTTATATTCAGGGGTACCAAAAAGTAACACCACAGTTTATTAAACTTCAACTTTCCATTTTTCAAGGGCTCATTTAATGCTGTCAGTATCTTTATAGTGCCAAGTATGTGCATGTGTGACTATAGATGGAGTTTAGATTGGTGAATGGATATATTGACCACTTATACGCATGATGTAGAACTGCCAGTTCTTACAGCATCACTGCTGATCTCCACAGTTCACAAATCACGACAGCACAGTTAAGACTTTTCAGCCTTCTGTGTCTTCACTGGCAGTTCCTTGGCAACAGCTTCTAACAATGGAGATTCTTCAGCTTCATGCTTATGTTGTTGTTACTGTCTGGAACTTGATGATCTAGAGATGGGTTGGACATCGAGTGCTGTATAAATATGAGTGCAATGTGATTTTGACTTAGGAGTGAGTGTTGTCTGTTAGACCAGCGAAAGAGCGTGTAAGTATGTGGGATGTTCCCACACATGCATAACCATTGCCATGGGAATGTGTTCACTGAACCATTGGCTAGAAACTGGTCATGCTGCAGTGGTGTTGAATGGTAGGATGACGGATAATGATAAATTAGAAAAAATATGGATGGAAGAAGTTGTGACGTAATTAGGAAGCTACCCTGGAATTTGGCGAAGAGACTGAGCAAAACCTTGAAAAATCTCAGTCAAGATAGTTGATGTCCCAGCTGAGATTCAAATAATTCACCTCCATAGTACAAGCCTAGAGTGTTAGCACCACACTGATTTGCTTGGTAGATAGTGGGGTAAAATATAAAGTTGTCTCTTTGCTTAGCTAATTAAGCACTACATCATGAACGCATGTGGGAGTGGATGTATAGATCTACATATTCTTGACCTTGGCATTAGGTGGAGGTGAGTGGTCAGCTTCACACTCCAAATGCTTCATTCCCAGAGAGGGGGCCCACAGTACCCATTGGATATGAGGCTGGGTGGGCCCCAGAACCAATCTGAAAGACATGGAGGTGAGAAAAATTGTGCCTGTACTGGGACTGAAGCTCCAACTTCTCAGCCATCTTGCTCATGGCCATTGCTTGCACTCAACCTTTCATATGTATGGATTAATGGACAAGTGTATTGGCGGGTAAATACTGTCATGTGAGTGTCTTTACAGTTGCTGTGTCTGTGGTACCTGATGATATCAACGCTGTACCTCCTGCTACATGTTGGTTCAGTGGCGACTCTCTTCATGTTGATGGAGCCATGCCTTATGTACCTTCTGCTGCAGTTTCGAAGCCGCATCCTGATATACGCAGCAGGCGTGTTCCTCCTGGCCTTTCACAACATTGATTCCAGAATGGTGTGTGGCAGCATGTCATGTTAATCCATTCACTGCCAGTCTCACCAACATGTGCCAGTTCATTCCTGTCAAGTGATGGCTGTTACCGATGTGTATGTAGATGTCATTTTTCCCTACAGATGTCTGTCATATGCAGAGAAAGTTCACATATATCTTGTTGGAGGTTAAAGAAGTCAAAACATACAGCACTCATTGATTGTTACCACTTTACTGATTTTAGGGGTTTGTAGTGTTTCATTGTGGGGCACGTGGTAATGTGGTTGGTTGAGGCATTATGCTAAAGCTGGAAGGTCGTGGGTTCGATTACTGATGAGGTGATTGGATTTTTCAATTAAACTAATCCTTCCAGCCACACTATGGCCCTGAGGTCAACTCAGCCTCTAACAGAAATGAGTACCAAAATTCTTGGGGGTACAGGGTTGTCAGTGAGTAAAGCTTGACAATGCGACCACCAACTATGAGCCGATTGTCTAGAAAATGTGGGAGCCTCCTCGTCTCACAACCCTATGGGCCTCTTCAAACCCCCCCCCATTGCTGGTGTTGATTCTCCTCGTGGGTCTTTGCACTGTATGTATGTGAACAGTGCTGCCAACGTTTCGGAAGTGTAGATTGCCATCTTCAGGGTGGAAGTGAGTCAGTTGAATGAATATTAATGTGTATATAAGATTGTGGTCAAACAGAAATGTTTCTTTGTTCACTGTCCATAGGGACCTGGACTGGGCACCAACCCCCACCCTTCTCCCCATGGTTGTGTTGAACCAGTACCCTGTATATGCAGGAGCACTCACCTTCCTGAGTTCAACCTTGAAGATGCAGGTAGCATGTGCCTTCAAAATAGCACTGACACTGCACATATCCACTCAGTGAAAAGACCCATGAACAGACTCAAGATGTTTTTCATTTGTTGTCTTCCATTTCCATGTCAGAGGTAGCGAATTCAAAACCTGTTTCTTATAGAAAAATGGCTGGTCAAGGAGATATAATCGCAGTACAGGGGCATGGTAGTAAATGTGGTGAACATGTTGAGACAAGTGTGGTAACATCCATTATGCACTCTGTCACAGCAACAGAATCATGCCTCTAAGTGAGACAGTATTTAAGATGGAATAAAAATCAAGAGCATTCTTGTTGAGCTGTGCCAGTTTCATTAGTCTGTTCAAAAGGACCAATATCTGCACCCTATCCTGAGTCCCATGAATCCAGTCCACATAATCAAAACCCATTTCTTCAAGGTTAATTTTAATATTATCCTCCCTTTTATGTGATGACTCTCAAGTGCTTTAATCTCTTATGGCTTTTGTAGGAAAACTTTGTAAGCTTTTCTGTTTTCTTCCATGTATGTTACATGTCCAGATCCCTCATTACCTCCTTGATTTGATCATGTAAACATTTGGTGAAGAGTACAAATTATGGACTTCCTCATTATGCAAGTTTCATCAGTTCTCCTGTTACTTCCTCATACGTCATAGTACTCTTGTCAGCCTCTGCTCTCAAGTATGCTCACGATATGTTTTCCTCTTTAGATGAGAGACAGACATACCTTAACTACATGCAGTGAAGCATCATTTAGTGTTCCTCTTTTTAAGGCTTCCCTTCATTTAACGCCGAATTTCAGTGATCCCAAGTCAGTAATTTCAACTTAAGTGACCTCCGTTTAAGAATTTCATCAGTTTAGTGTTCACATACACAACTTTAAGAAGAAACCTTAACTGGTGGGGGGGGATTTCACCATGTCATGAAGCTGTTGCCTTTGTTGTAGGGAAGGTAGAGGTGTAGCAGTTGAAGCAGGAGGAAAGAAGCTACAAATGGAAGGAGAAAAAGATATAAAGTGATGAGTGAAAGAGTCTGATGAGTTACTTTATGATGCTGTATCATGGACTATACATGATAGTTGTCAAGTTTCAGCTGGACTTAATTTTTTTTGCTGAAGATGGGTCACCAGAAGAATAAAGTTCTTTTATGTACAGTTGGGGGCAACACTGCACACACACTGCCTGGCAGGTGGCCATTTGTCCCACTTCTATGCATGATGACGTCAGACCTTGTCACTTCTAGTGTAGAACAGCATTGTATCATAAAATTTCTAGTGAGAGGGGTGAGGGAGCAAGAAGGGGAGAGTGAGTGAGTGAGTGAGAGGGAGAGTAAAGTAAAGCTATCCCTGTATCAGGCCATGAAGGCCCATAGAGTTGTGAGATGTTGAGGGTCCCACATTATCTAGACAATCGGCACAGAGATGGCGGGAAGGTTGTCAACTGCGTTTTACTCCCCAGGAAAATTATTTAATTAATTCCTGGTCCTCATTTCTGTTAGAGGGTGAGTCAACCCCAGGGCCATAGTGCGGCTGGAAGGATTAGGTCAATTGAAAAAAAATCCAATGACCTCATCGGGACTTTTACCCATGACCTTCCAGCTTGTACCATAGCCCCTCAACCAACTACACTACTGTGAGTGAGAGGGAGAGACCAACAGAAATTCTGTGTTAGCCATGTGTATTATGGGGAGGAGACCCTGTCCTGCGAAAGTATCTGTGATTGGTACAGTAAGTTTTCTAGCTGTAAAGAAGTCTCAAATCTACTGCATGCTCACATTCAGCCAATAGATGTATGTGATAATTGTTTCAACACTTTTAACAGCCACTTTGCCATTCACTTGTTTCCCAAGATTGACTCTTTGACATGGCATATGTTCACATTGCGTAGCTCAGTACCCCTTGAATACAGATCTGCTGCCCTACTGCCACACCGTCCAACTTGATTATTGTTTCATATTTCTGAATAGCAAACTGGGTGGCGAGGGTAGATTTGCAGCAGTGGATTATCAACTGTTTTGAATTATTCATGGTGGTTCTCTCCATTATGGCAGAAAATTGGCAGGCTACTGTATTTCTAATGATGGTATGTATGTGGTGTTTACAGAACTTCTTGTCCATCCCTTATGAATACCAGTACATGCTGATGATATCCGCAGCATGGATCTACATGCGCGGACAGAGCTACTGTCTGGATAAGCTGGCAACTGTCAATACAGGCCCTAGTGTGTCAGACTTCGTAATGATGCTGGGGTACTGTTTTTACTTCCCGATGCTGTTCCTCGGCCCTTTGGTTCTTTACCAAGAGTTTGAAGCAGGGGTGCTGAAACCATATGCCCCATGGACGCTGAAACGTGTCAAGACATTTCTGCTGAATGTGGTGCGTTACTCTTGGTGGATGCTGTTCCTAGAACTGTTCTTACACTTCATTTATGTTGGTGCATTGCAGATGGATGTGTGGGTAAGTTTGAATAATACAGCTGATTCCAAACAGTTTGAAACGTTCTGAAATTTAAAATTATTGTATGCACTGTCACCTTGTGTTCTTTTAGGTTATATCACTGTTGGTAAGTGGGTACCAGTATTTTGGAGGCACATACTGCTTCCATCTTCAGGGCAGAATAAGAAGGCATTATGTTCCTCCAGTGTACTGATACTCACCTGCCTCAGTACAACATAGTGTATTGACTGGGTTAGCTTAGAGGTAAAACTCTGAGCTTGTATTCAGGAGGCGATGAGTTTGAATCTTGGCTGAGTTTTTTTTTCTTTGTCTTCCTCATTTCCTTCAGGCAAGTGCTGGGACAATACTACAATTAGGCTATGGCCTCTTCCTTCCAAATCAATTTGCTTTCCAATTCATCAAATCATTCAACACTGTACAGTCTAAACAGTATCACAATGCAGAAGACTAGACTCTGAACAATTACCACTGTGAAAATGTCAAATCTTATATATTGAAATAAAGTATTGCCATGTATTTGGGGGTGTGACTATACATGGTGTATGGATTGATGAATGTATTTATTGACCACTTGTACACACTACTCGGAACCACAAGTAATTATAGTGCCATTGCTAATCTCCACACTTTACAGTTCACTACAGTATCTACTAAGTCTTTCCCAGCCTGCTATCTTAACCAGCTGTTCCCTAGAAATGGCTTTTAACAGTGGAGATTGTTCATCTTCCTTGTCAGTTCGTTCTATCCCAGCTGACAACTGCCAGCTGTCCACTAACTATAGCATCATCCATTCTTTTGCTTTCTTGCCGAGCTTAGCTGAACTGCCAACCCTCAACTAATAACTCCAAAACTCAATTGACCTTACTTTTAACGTTTCGGCACAAACACATAGAAAACACCGTTTCCATTGTTGTAGTCCATCAATACCTCGACCGTTGCATGCATATCCATTGCCATGGGAAGCTGCTTTACCGAGCGAGAGGTTGCCTAGCAATAACTCAGATATTGTTGATGTGTTTACTGACCATTGTGAAGCAACTGCTGCTTTTCACAGAGTCACCCTCAGCAACAGGTCTATATGCTGCAGTATTTATTTGTTTTGATGGTTGTTTGTTTATCGTTTGATGATGTTGGCATTAGTAGAGACTAAATAGTGTTGAATGGTAGAAGGTATAGCTTCCTGGTCATGCACACACACCACAAACATCTTTTAGGGTATATCATCATCAGATAGTGATGTAGATCATTATGTTATCATTAGAAAGTCACTAGGTGCTATTTTAAACCTCCAGTGGGAAACAAAATCATGATACTGGAGACCTTGTTGAACACATATGTCTTCTTCTCCTGTAAGGTTGCCTGTTGATGGCGAGTGTGTGAAACAGAATTGACGAGGTGAGATTTTAAGTTGTCATAGTAGTAAAAATTAGGTTTACTGTGTTCAGAGATATGACAGTATACGGTCTGTTACATAGCACCAGTGCTGTAAATGGAATGTTATGCGTCAATCTTCAGAGAAGAAAATTTCTCCCTTGATGATGGAGGCAGCAGGTTCCTTCTGAAATGCTGATACCTCTCTACCGGACTACAGTGTCGCATCCCAGAAGATAATAATCTTAAATTGACTGATCTATGAACGTACATAGGAGCCATGAACTCATACAAGGTGTGTTTAACCTGAGGTGCTCACAATGATAACTATGAAGGTTACTGTCTTCTGCAACTGAATTCATCTTCTTTATAAGATTTTTATTTAATGACACCGTCAATATTGAGACTATATAGCATTGATGATAGAATAATTAATGAATGCAGAGTGGTTGATGGAATGAGAATTGACAGGGGAACTGAAGAACTTGGGGTGGGAGGGAAACCCACCCTTATGCCATTTTGACCACCACAAATCCCACCTTATCCGATCTGGTATTAAACCAAGTTACTGTGGTGGGAATCAAGTGACTTACTTCCTGATATGTGGTGCAGCCTACATGAATCATGTCTGATAGAAGCTCACAAATGCTTCTGAGGGCGCGTACTCTATCTTCAGGTTTGAACAGTAAGACAAGCAAGTGACCAGCAAGAAGCAGGTGGGAAACAGCAAATAGTTAACTTCATGCAAGAGGAAGTGTAACATGGTTCTTAACTGAAGGTGATAAATGTTTCAGCTTAATATTGTAGCGTGTAGACCTGTTGCTCGGTAGTGATCGCAAAACAGTGCCCATTGCTGGGGCAGCAGATTCACCTGCTGCTAGGTGATGTGAACAAATTCCTGCAGAAATAGAATATGAGAATGAGCATTGTGTTGTCTATGCAGAAAGACAATTTGGGCAACCAAGTCAGTTCTGTACAGGAGTCTGAAGAAAAGTCAGAGATAGTCAAAGGAAAGTTGGAAGGGAGTTGCCTTTTAGAGACGACTTGAGGGCAGAAGCTGAAGATTCTCCATTATCAGAAGCTGTTACTAGGAAATGGCTGGTGAAGACACAGCAGGGTGTGAAAGTTAAGCGGATACTGTGGTGATTTGTGAAGTGTGGATATTAGCGATGGCACTGTAATAGCTTGCAATTGTGAGTTGTGTTGTAATGTGGTCAATAAGTCCAATATCTAATCCAGAACCCCGTCTGTAGTCATTCCATACTATGTGACTATGTTAATGATACTAGGCATCGGTATTGGTAAACTGATAGAATATCTATAAGTGTATATGAACTCTGTGGTGTGTTTCAGTATGTGACAAGGCTTGGAGCATGGGCACATTATGGAATGGGATACAGCATGGGTGTCATGTTCCAAATGAAGTATGTCATCACATATGGACTGAGTTGTACAGTAGCACGGGCTGAGCAGATACAGACTCCGAACCATCCAAAATGCATTGGTCGTATCCACCTATACTCCGACATGTGGAGACACTTTGACCAGGGACTGTACTTCTTTCTGCGAAAGTTGGTTGACAGTCATTTGCCTTTCTTAATATCGTTATCAAATTCTATCAAAGCATGATGAAATGCTGCAAGTCTTTATCTGTAACACCATGGAGCTGACTCCTCCTTATGTATTATTTATTTAACAAGTTGCTAGGTCTGAAGTCAGAACAAAAATATGGCCATGGTTCCCAGCGGGGCCCGATGCCAAGAGTGACTATGCCAGCTGATTGTCGGCAGTAAGCTTCTGCTCTGCTCTTCTATATGGCATGGGATGATAGGATGATTGGTGAATTATGAATTGGGAAGGATGTGGAGGGAGGAGGTCATGGCCTAATTTGAGGTACTACAGACACTTGCAACAAGTGCCTGGAGGGATTCAGGAAACCCATGAGAAACTTCTCTCAGGATAGCTGATCTGTGGGCTGAGATTTGAGCTCAGGACATCTTGTATACGAAACAGGACTGTTATTGAATCATGGTGTTTAATAAGTCCTTCAGAAGCTGATAGTCATCTAGTTGATCAAGAAATTCTCCACCTTTTGAGGAGCCTGGACCTTCATAATGGTGCTTTTAACACATATTTCTTGAATTAATTTTTTGTGGCATTTATGGGTTTAGGGTCAGAATTTGGAACAGTTTCTAGAATTATCTGTACTAGACCATGGGCACACAGTAGCATGGTTGAGATACTGTGCTACCAACCGGAAGGTCATGGTTTTGATTTCCAGTGTCATTGGATTTTTCAGTTGACCTGATCCTTCCAGCCACCCTATGGCCCAGGGGTCGACTCAGCCTGTAACAGAAATGAGTACCAGGATCCTTCCTGCAGTTAAAGTATGGCCAGCACGTAAGGCCGACAGTCACTGCCATCTGAGGGAAAATTGTCTAGAGAATGTGGGAGCCTTGACATTTCACAACCCTATGGGCCTCAACAGCCTCTTACAGGGATAGCTTTACATTTTTATCTTTACGTATCACTGCTAGACCAATTTTTGTACTCTATTCACAATTTATAGCACTAGTAACAACCCGCTAAAGTGCAAAGCTTGTCTTTTTGGATATGAGATACTTTTCAGTGAAAATTTTCATTCTTAAATCAATGTATTTTGAAAAGGAATTCAGTTATAGGGGCATGACCCTGCTTCAGCATGGGCAGAAAGGGGTGGAGAGAGATGTGTTGACGAGTTGATTCAGATGGATGGAGAAATTTGCTCACTTCTATGCAAAGTGAAAGCAGCTGTAGAAGAATTCTTGATTTGAGAGCGAAAGTCATTGTTTGGATTGATATCAAGATTCTGAAAATTTTGAGGCTTTCACCTACATTAACATACTAAAACTGTACATTCTGCTCACTGACTATTCGTGTATTTTATATGGGGTGTGACACCAAACACAGATTTAAAAGTTAGTGACAATGGTACATTAATACAAATATTATGTTTCTGGACACTATCCATCATCTTGTTCTTATCTAGAACACCATCCTGTGTTTATTTAAAGATACAACGTTTTTTACATTTTATCATGTCTCTATATTCACGTAAGACCTGCTCAGTTTAGCCCAAATGATAGAGGTAGTCCCTATCTGTGGACCCCTGTACAAGCACTAGATAGGGTATACAAACCGAGCACAACACAAACCATCTGCAAGAGTTAAGACAAAACATTAAAATATTAAAAAATCCACATGTATGAGGCCTTGTACCAGAGACCTATTGGAATAAAAGTCATCACTGCAGAGACAAATTCTCCATATTCTACCAACACAAACATTTTACCACTCAGTCTACACTGGACAGAGTTGTAGTTTTTTACTTCTGCCAAACAGAGGTTTTACCTGAAGAAGGAGACAGAATCCAGTGTCTCAGAAATGGCGTTTTTTTTTTAAATAAAAACAGGATGATGGATAATATCTAGAATCATAGTATTTGTAAACTCAGATTATTTCCCTAAATAATATTAACCACTTGGTCATTGTAGCACAGACATAATGTGTTTCCTGCGAGGTACAGTGTTTTTGTTTCAGTTGCGTAAAGTGAAGATGGATGGATGTAAACAAGATTGTGAACAGTGGGTGGGTGAGTCATAGCCTGTTTGAAAGAGGGACTAACGAAAACAGAAACATGTCCGTTTCCTTGCTGAGGTTCAAACTGGGTACATTCTGAATGCAGACCAAATGCAATATAACTTTTCAGATTTTCTCTGCTCATGTTTGAGAACATGTTTGGACATGAGAGAAATAACAGGATAGTGGAAACTGCACAAGGAGCTTTATGGTTTGTGCAGGTTTTTACCAACATGGTAACAAACATATGAGGTCGAGAAGGGCTTAAAATTTCTGGCTAGCTTAGCCATTATTAGCTTCTCAGGAAGGTCTCTGCTCCATGGAGTTTCATTAGAGTTTGTCTTCTCAGAGTAACTGCTGTAGCACTTGTATTGTGCAGCATATATATAGGAAGCCATGAATACATAGAGTGTTTTGTTGGGAACCAGTTAGTCTGAAAACTAAACTGATGAAAATGTGAAATGGAGGAAATGTAGCATTGATATTTTGGACTTGGAATCATTGAAATTGGATGTTGAATGGAGGGGAGATCTTATTAAATGGAGGTTTCGATGTACGTAATTTTAGCTGGAGTAAAAACATGGGAACTGACTAATCTGATGGTTGAATTGTAGGTGAGATGATATTAAAATTAATTCTGGGGAAAGAGATTATGAGAATATGATCTTGTTTGAGCTATCATTGGGTACACTTTGTTGTCATCAGTTTCAGTTCTTGAGCAACATGCAATTTCTGAAATGCTTGTGCCTTCAGCTGTGTTCAGTGTTAACCCTTCTTGCCTGTACCAGCCTACAAAGGGACAGAGAACCCTTTTCTAAGGTGTCACCCATAGGGCAGATTCTATTATTCCCACTGATTCGATAATCATGAGAATGATCGTTGATTGAGGGGACCGACAACTTAGCGTAGGCTCCAAACCAGGGGAGGGGGAAGGGAATGTTGTGTTCCCCACATTTCTGAAGTTTCTTTCTTTGGTAGAAGGTGTCAATGTGTGGACAGGAAAATCTGCAAACAGATCTGTTTGGGGATCAGACTACACATAGAACCTTCTGAGCAAGAGTCCGTGACCTTACCACAAAACCATTACACTATATCGAGAAGTTATTTGTATGTATTCAGTGCTGGGCCTATCCTCTCCTTACATAAGCACCATATCAGTTCATCAGCTTGTGCTTCCTTTATATCGGTTCCAGGCAGGCGCAGCTATTGTAGCAAGTAGTGCACAATCTGCATAGCTGTTGAATCGGTTTCATTCCTGATGGAGTAGATATTTTTCTCTTTTCCACTGTTCCCAGAGTGGCTCTGAGATCATCGTATCTCTTGTCAGCAGCTGCTTCCAAGGTGGTAAAGCAGCCAGGGCATGAAGCTGACCACTCACATCCTAATGCCAAAGCTTGCATGGAGATATACCTCCACTGTCTCATGCATCTTCATGGTATGGTGTTTAAGCACTGGGACATCTCTATGCATCATATCACATTGTTCAGTGGGTCTTGTGCAATGTCTCTGTATGACTAATGACTCTCATCTTCTGTGTAGTGTGGCAGGTGGGTGCCAACAATGTAGCGGGATCTGTTGCCTCCATATTCAGTGTAGCTGCCCAGAACATGCAGCCAGGAAATTCATCTGAAACAGTATCAAATTCCAGAAGATTGCAGTTTGATTTTCTCTGCTGTGAGAACCTCGAGACTTCTAATTCTGCTGTTGATGTTTCAGGTACATCTACATTCCCATGCTTGGCGAGAGACCCAGTTTCGCAGTCAGATTGCTGGCTTCATTTACTTGCTTTACCTTTGTGTATGCATGGCACAGAATACACATGTTTGTGTTAGTATGGTCAGTACTGAACTACCTTGGTGTCACCATTGAAGCTTTTTCAAAAGCCATAGCTTCAACGACGCATTATCATAAGTATGAGGTAATTAAATGGTACAGTGTTCCATCACGTTACATGGTTTTACATAGAGATATAAATTTTTCTACCAGACAACATGTATTCCTGTTGCATAGTTTCTGACACTGTAAATGGAATGTACATTGTGTAATCGAAAAAAACTATCTCTAATGAGATAATTTAGTTCAGAAGGATCGCTTCAATAACTGTGAGTTCCATATTTCACATTATGCTCTTATGTGGCCTTTATGGCAGATACTGACATTTTTGAAGGAACATACTGCATCCTCCTGAATTAAGGTGTGTAGAGTTAGGAACAGGTTTAGTTATATAGGTGAATTGCAAGGAAGGTGTCCCTGAGACCCATGGAATGGGGTAAGGAAATGGAACAGTTTGAGTCACTGGGAGCACTGGATAGGGATATGTTGTTTTTTTTTCAGGGCCACAGTATTGTGACATGCTGCCTGAAAGCTGGAATAGTGAAATCAGAGATGTCCATTGCAAGGCAACTGCTCAGTAAACATTCCTGTAGCAATGAATACGCAAGCAACAGTAGAGGGATATCTAGGAAATGGTGTTTTCTGTGGGTCCACCCCAAGGCTATATAATGAGGATCTCACACAGCTAGAAGTAGAATTGAATTGAGTTCTGGAGTTTGCAGTTGGCAGAATAATGGCAAGAAATGAGTTAATCTGTGCAAAGAAGACTCGATGTGCGATTTGAAGTGACTAGTGAAGACCTAGGACACTAGTGTTTTTCAGCAGTGCAGAGATTAGCGGTAGCACGGTATTGTAGTTTAGACTTATGAACATAAGGTGGTAGTAAATCAGTCATCTGCCTGCCTCTGCAGATGGGAGGTGGAAAATGAGGAATAAACCACTTTATGAAGGGCTATATAGAGGATTATTGTCTCAGGAGAAAGGAACTGTCTTGTCCTTGGAGAAAACTTTTCCCTTCCTTCAGGGAATGGATAAGGGACTTCCATGATCAGGTCAGACAGAATATGTTTCGTGTTTGGGGTGGAGATTGATCATTGTCTCTTCCCTTGTGAGCTGGTTCTTGTACCAGGATGCTGGTGGTTGAGCAGAATACAGTGACCCAGTTTGATGCTGTGTTCTTTTACTGCAATTTTCGCTGGTTTCCACAATTAAAATGGTGGTGATGTTCTTTACAAGACTGCGTGATGCTATAGTCCAGAAGACTACACTCTGAACAAACTTAGCTGTGACTTGAATCTGTGGTAAAATTTATAAGTGACAGCTTGGTTAAAAGTTAAAAAAGGGAATCAGAAAAGCTGTTGATTCCAGGAAGTAATCTTTTACAATGTCATGATAAAATTGCATGTTCACACAGCAGTGCATATATTTAATTTTACATACTTCATTATCCTAGGGTGGTTATTTTATGTGCATAGCGCTCTGATGCCTCGGTAATTTTGACTGTTTTTAGAAAGATTCTTCCCCGTGTTTGCAAAATTTTGGAAATGCAGGCAAATATTCTGTTGTCATCTATCCATCAAGTTGGCTCAAGTGATAACCCTTCATACTATTTTGGAAGTGTCTGGTTCAAAACTTGGCCAGCACACCAACTGTCCTGTTCCCCTCTTCACCCTGGTTTTCTTGGTCTTTCCAAGGAAGTGTTAGGGTAATACCTTAGATTGCTTGATTGCTTCCTTCTAAATCCTTTTTAGGCCATTATTCGCTAACCATCCTAGTATTCAACACTGTGTAGTCTGAGCTACTGACAAAGTTTTAATAGACCATAAATAGTACACACATTTAGGCCATGTTACAATAAAAGGTTAATATATTATCCCCTCCCACAGACACTTCTGAGAAATGTGAAGGTGACAGATGAATTCCTTGTGATAATAAAATTCCACACCATATGGTAATGCTGGAGGTGATTGGTCACCTTTACCCATGACTGTTTTACTCCCAGAGAAAGACCCTGTAGTACCAATTGGATGAGAGGCTTGGTGGACTCTGTAGTTGGTCTGGATGCTGTGGAGTGGAGAAAAACCTCTGACTCTGCTGGCAGTTAAATCCTGATCCAGTTTAACCTCATCCACTATACTGGCTCTCCTGTCTTGGCATGTGCTTACTGTAGCGGTCAAATGTTGCACACAGTGAAAAGGAAATAACACATATTTCAAGATTTGGATGTTGTCTGCCATGGTGGTCAAATGGTAATGTGTTCATCATTGGACCCACACTCAATACAGTAATCTATAGCACAACTTCCTTCAGCAGAGAAGTAATGTCAGGGGTCCCATATTTGTTTACATCATATAGAAGAACTTTTGACACGTGACAGGATAAGGCGAAATTTAAAATTCTGTTTCTGGTCATCCACAGAGCTCCCTACCCTGCTCCTTGATACCACTGTGGAGACATCTAGCAGACAGAGGAGTTTGAGCAACTTGAAATAACCCAACCCAACTGAAGGCTGGGCAGATGGATAATGTAACTTGCCCTCGTCGTGTCTGAATAGAAAACAATTTATAAAAATGTCAACCAGTTGAGGTTAAAAGCACAAATCATTTTATTGTCAAAGTGCTTGGCCTGGAAACCAGTTTCTTCATCGAAGAAATGCAACATGTGGGAACTCCAGGAACAGTATCTCCCTATTTACAAACTGTTCATTCCCTTCCCATACATAGAGCTCAGTGCATAATAAATATGAAGTGTTATGACATGGGATGGTGTGTCCACTTGCTAAAAGAGTTGCAGAGTTCATCTGTGCTGTTATACTGATATATAAATTAATGGAGCAGTATGTGATGATGTCAGGTACCTGGGACCACAGTAGGGGGACCCAAGAGTGCTAAGTATGTTATTGTCTCTCTGTACAATTTTTGCATAAAATGAATACATAATCATTAGGTGTCACCCATTCATCCACACGTTCCGTCACAAAACCTACCAAACAGATGGATTTAGTGGTAATGCTCTTGACTTGTGTGGGCAGCCTTTGATTCATGGCCAGGACACCTGCTGTCCTCAATGAGATTCTTTTTTTTTGTGATTTTCTTCAGTCTGTCCAGGAAAGTACCTCAGTTAGGTTGTGACCACTTGCTTCCAAATTCTCTCCAGGTCATCATTAATTCCCATCCTACCATTCCATGCTATATAATCTGTAGAACTGCAAGTACCATAAAGTAACCTACAAAAGACCTGCAAAAGTACTTCACCACAAAGAGTATGTGTTGCCTGTATGTTGCAGAAGTATTTGTTTTCGACACCACAGAATATCAGGAGATTCCATGCTCTGATTGCTACACCTCTGTTCATGATGTCTGCACTCTCAAACTTTTATTTCTTTGCTGGGATGTCAGTTGGAAATCAGTTCGTGAGGAGACTCTTTGAAGGTAGGTCCCTTGTATTGTGTTGGTCTTAGCCTTTGAATTAAGGTCCACTAAAATGACAGCGCCATAGCTCAAGCGGTTAGTTGCTGGCTTCCCACTGTGGCAGCCTGGGTTCGTTCCCAGGTCTGGTCAAGTGGGATTTGTGGTGGAGAAAGTGGCACTAGGGCGGGTTTTCTCTGAGTACTTCAGTTTCCCCTGCCAATCTTCATTCCACCGAATTCTCCATCATAATCACCCGGGGCAGGTACAATAGGCCAATCAGTGGCCGCCATGCGAAGTGGACCCAGTTGGACTCCACTCTCCACTAAGCAAAAAGGTCCACTGAACATGGACATAAATTTAAAGGCATTTGGTCTTGTGGCCCATACTGAGATGTGTAACTTTGGCTTTTAGTATTTAGCCGTGTCATGTACTTCTGGGATGTGATGCTGTAGTTAGGTAGATGAGTACCAGTGTTTCAGAAGAAAATTCTGCGAGTACAGTGGTGATGCTGGCAGTAGTTTCCCCTGAAATGTTTGTTGCCATCTACTGAATTACAGGGGTCATTCCAGGAGACCCTTGATATTTACTGCCATTAGAATCTCAGATCTCTTACATTTTCCCACAGTCCTCACTTCTGTGCTGTACAATGGAGCACTTTTCATCTCCTTGATATGTACTTTGAGTCATTGTTTACTTTTCATACAGTACAGACAGTTCTCCCTAAGCTGAGGCACCAACTATACAGTTAATTAATTTGCAACATCAAGGGCCTCCTATGCATTCGTATATAAAAGAAATATCAAATTTCCAATTTGTCCATGGAAACGTATGAAAAGTAAAATATCAACGACTGATTCGATGTTATATAACATCAATTTTATCTTGTTTTATACAATAACTTTTAGTTTTTATATAATCTGACTTATTGTATTTTTATGCAAAGTATTTTAAATAATTAATAACAATGTATCCAATCTAATGTACTGCAGTTCAATGGTATATGTTTGTTAATATGTGTTTGCCTGATGATGGCCGTTAGTGGCTGAAACATGTAGTGAAACATAGCTGGGCGCTGACCTTGATTTTTTCTGTTTGTTGTGTTGTGACGGTCAATAAAGAGTTGTATTACTTTAGTCTTGTTCCTCATTGTGTCTCTTACGTCCCCTTTACTTCATTCTGAAGCACCATCTATATGTGTATTTTATCTAAGTAAAAGGCCTTCATTTCATTTCATTTTTATTTGGCATTCATAATTGCTACAACAGTAACACTTGAACAAGTCACATTAAATACATCATTGTTGAAATCTTTTAGCCTGAATGCCTAAAGAATTCAAATTTGTTAAATTTACACTCTTATTTACAGGTACTGCTCAATTTATGAGGCAGTTATGTTTAAAAATAAATTGCAGAGGGTGAAACCTTTGTAAATCAAATCTGCTGGGCCAAATTTTCCCTTCTCCCTTTAATGACAGTCCTCTCCTGCCTCCCACACAATATTTTATTTCCCCTCCTCTCCACATCTTCCAATTGGCCGGCACGCAGTTCACATTAGCACGAGCACTATTAATTGAAATCTAAGTTAATTGAACACCTTGAGGTTAAATGGCACTTATCAAACTCTCATATAATGTGTCCCATAATTTTTAAATTATGCATGAGTAATACCTTAAATTTTATTGCCATATGTCATACTATTGTAACATTGCATGTTCATGGCCCAGGGCTGGCCAGTGGAATTTTCAGTATTAGTACCATTTTTCCACAGTTAAATTCTGGCTACTGGTCTTGTTGCAGCAAGGAATTTTATATCCAGTATTCATGGACAATAAAGGTAGTCCAGTAATTCTTCTTTTGAAGACTAGATGGCATAATAATTGTACCAAAATATTGATTATTAAAGATCTACTCACAGCAAGAAAGATTTTTTGAATCTGTTGAATGAATGTAGTTTAACTCAAGTTTGAACTTGTAAATTGTAAAGTGCAACACGAATAAGATGCTTCACACACCACCAATGGAAGCAAAAGTCTTAAAAGGATTTATGTTTTATTCTATTTATCATGTTGAACAAATATATGTAAGTATAAGAAATGCATATCCAACTGTGGGGGGTATTTTCTGTATGCATAAGTTACTGATTCTGAAATTTCACTCTCTGAAGGTGATTACAGGCCCATGAAGGAAGTACATACCTTTGTTTCTCTGATGATTTTACTTANGATCTACTCACAGCAAGAAAGATTTTTTGAATCTGTTGAATGAATGTAGTTTAACTCAAGTTTGAACTTGTAAATTGTAAAGTGCAACACGAATAAGATGCTTCACACACCACCAATGGAAGCAAANTGTATAAGAATGTATCACCAACTGTGGGGGGTATTTTCTGTATGCATAAATTACTGATTCAGAAATTTCACTCTCTGAAGGTGATTACGGACCCATGAAGGAAGTACATACCTTTGTTTCTCTGATGATTTTACTTACTGAGTGACAGGTAATTTGATTTTATCAGCTGTTTAGTATTCTTAATTTTAACCCTTTAACTGTTAAGGTTTCAAGTGCTTTGCTGGCTCCCATTGCTGTCATTTTTGTACACATGTGTTTGTTATGACAAAATTCTTTGTAGCCCTTTATGATTCTAAAAGCTACTTCATTTCTTCCATGGATGGTATTACATGCTTCGTACCATCTTCTCAACTCCAAAGTCACTACTGTAGTAACAATAAAATGCCCTGGTGTATTCCTTTCCAGGGTCTTTGCAAGAGAACAGCACTCTGTTCCTCTTTTGTTACTGCTGCTCTCAAGTGTCCATCGAGGTCAAGAACTGGGAACAGAGAAAAGAGAAGAAACAAATGTGAATTTGTTTGTTAAGAGTTGTGCGTCATATTGTGCAATGAGAGCCAGGTGTGAGTGATATTTACTGCAAATAAGTGCTACAGCACTTAGTTATGCTTTGCAATGGTATTTGACAGATCTCAAGCATGAATGTTTGTGCCTTGAAGTTTTTATATGCATTTATATGTTGTTTATTTAGATATTAGATGAATAAGAAGGAATTAATATGTTTAATATATGAAATTATACATTTTTTATCAGTTTCCTGCCCATTTTCCTCTTGCAGTTCCAGCACAACATACCCACACATATCGTGACACTTACCTGTACTGCTAGCATGTGGTGTAGAGATGCACAACTGTGGGACTCTGGTTTGAATCCTCATTTCTAAACTAATGGCTACTAGTGTGTGAGAAAAGTAACCATATAGATGTAACTTATTCTCTTCATGGTGATAACAGTTTTTGAATGTGATTCAAATCATTCCCAATTTTCTTTTTATTTACTAGGGTGTACTTAATTTTTTTCTGGTCTCCATGCTTTATTATTTAAGCATGAAAGAAGATGCTGGTAACAAAATATAACCCACTGATATTGTTCATCAAATTATGTAACTGTTGTCACCATGAAGAGAATAAGTTACATAATATGATGAAAAATATCAGTGGGTTATATTTTGTCACTATCATCTTCTTTCATACAGAAAATAGTTCATATATGTGGTATTGTTTCCAGAGTATTTGAATGTTCTGTTTCTGCTTTTGGGCAGAAATGAGATAATACACTTTCTGGTTCTCCATATGGTGTTACAGTGTTTCTGCACATTTCTGTGTGTGTGTGTGTTTGTACATTACTTGCAGATGTAAGATTTCAGAGTGTGTTTTCTTCCAAGTCACACTTAAACTGAAATTGATTCCCTAACTTCAAATCCAGTTTCCCAAAAACTGGTGGACATGGTACACTCCAGTACTTATATTGTGTGATATTCTTCCAGGAAATGTATTGCATACTCCTTAAATATTTCCCTGTTAATAAATTTCAGTTCTGTAGATTGACAGTGTGGTATATGGGGTTTCTGTAAAAAGTGGTATGGTTGTGAGTAATTCATTCATTCATGAATGGATCTACAGCCCTTTGTTGGGCCCTGGCCTCTGCTTCAGTTTTGCAATCTTTTGTTACACAGAGTAGGACTCCTTGGATGAGTGATCAGCCCATTGCAAGGCCACCACATACACATAGGACAGTGCAAACACAGAAAAATTGCACACACACACATCCATGCCTTGAGTGGGATTTGAACCCATGATCGCAGCGTTCAAGTGAGTGAAGACAGTTCATGCCTTAGACTGTTAAGCCACTGTGATTGGCGATTATGAGTAATAGTAATGTGAAAAATTATATAACATATAGCTGTAAATGTGACAACACTCTATTCTACCACTCATATAGTTTTTCCAACCGCAATGTGTTTTCTCACACCTCAGTAACTTGAACAAGGTGCCTTAAATGCAAAATTTCTGAAGAAATGGATTGGCAGATACGGACCAATTGCGTGGCTGCTTAGAATGCATGATCTAATTATTTTGTTTCTTTTTTTCCTGGAATGTGAATGACACTGTCCACTCTGAAAAATTCCAAGATCTGGATTATTTAAGAGATAGAATCTATGCCAGTACTGAAACTGTTATGCTTGGAATGCATATAAGCACAGAAGTGAAGCTGGGCATTGATTTGATACTTACAGAACAACACATGGGGCACGTTGAAATTTATCAAACTGTTATGAACTGTTGTTTTTTGAATATGATAAAACCTTTTTTGATAAATTATCTTCACTATATTTTACTTAATCAGTGTACCATAACATATGTGGGATTGTTGATGTTCTAAAAGACAACCACATAAATCTGTAACAGTTGTATATAGTAATTGTATAAATTGAATGTACAGAATAGCTGCGAAGCTATGTGGAATGTCAAAAGTTGGCTGGCCTTGAAAATGGCAGTTTGTTCTGCCATGAGTGTGCTGGTAGAATTTGCTCCTTTATAGTAGACCAAGTCTTTATGGCTGCTCAGCTGGTTTGTCCGGCCAGTAATGTGGTGCTGTATGCGCCTGTAGGAACATCTGCCTATGGAGTGGTTGCTGGAGAGTTACGGCAGCTACATTAGCTGCCTGGTTGCAGAGCGAGGTTGCTGGAGAGTTGCAGCAACTACATTAGCTGCCTGGTCGCAGAGCAAGGTTGCTGAAGAGTTGTGGCAACTATGTTAGCTGCCTGGTCGCAGACTGTGGTTGCTGGAGAGTTGTGGCAGCTATGTTAGCTGTCTAGTAGGAGAGCTGCGGCAGTTACGTTAGCTGTCTGGTAGCAGAGCACGGCTCCTGGAGAGTTGCGGCAGCTGTCTTTGGCACAGTGAACAGCTGATGACTCTAATGACTGATCACTCTGAACTGCATGTGATCACTGATGATTGTGAGCTTTGGGTTCCGTCTTTTATACCATGCTTGATGGGCGGAGTGAAACTTGCAGTTGCGATTGTGAGCGCTGATTGGCTAGCGCATGTGATGATCTAAATGTGGGCTGGACAGAGAGTACTGTGTAAATACGAGCGTCGGCAGCATTGTGATTGGTTAGCTCATATGATGATCTACAGGTTGGTTGGACATCGAGTGCTGTATAAATATGAGCGTTGGCAGCAATTTGCAGCAATGAGATATTGACCTAGGAGTGAGTGTTGTCTGTTAGACCGGTGAAACAGCGTGTTAGTATGTGGGATGTTCCCACACATACCATATCATTCTTTTTATGGAAATCCTATACAGTGAATCCTCTGTTTAACATATTTTGGTACTTCACGTTATTCTCAGGTTTATATGTCAGTACTTCCCAGTAATAGTCTGGTTTGTATGATATATGTGTACTTTGTCAGTCATGGCTGTGAATGTAATGTGTATTTAGTATATAGATCATTCTGCTACAAATTAAATTTGTGTTGTACAGCGTTTGGTTTGTTCTGTATCACAAATATGTTTTTAAATTAATACACCATAGACAAATTGAGAATAAATGACAAATTTGAGTGTAAAACAGAATTTAGAATTCATTGAAAAATTAGAATCTGGAGTGTCCATCACATGTGTTTCTGACGAATACATACTTCAGGATTTAACAGACATTATGCAATATTGGACACCACCTCCCTACCATTTGTTCAGGAAATCAAGGATATACTGTATTTATTTGGGAAGCTTTGTTTCTTATGTCTGCATGCATAAGTACGTATCAACCATATGTCAGCAAGTAACAGGTACTTCTGCTAGTTATCAGTAAAACAATAGAACATTCTCCCTTCGTGTGTTCAATGCAAAGTGCCTCATATATTCTCCAAGTGTTTTCCCTGTGATTCTGCATCCACCATTGGTCATGATATTTCTCTTTTGCAGGTATGAATCCATTAATGCCAGAGCTATACAACAATCCAGATAAGACATTTTTTCTTGTTGACATGTTAAATTTCAGAGGTATAACCTTTGTTTCCTGTTGTTTTGTTACATATGCTACTTACTTAGTTTCATTTGATATTTCCTCTGTATGGGTCATATAGCAACCAAGCTTCTTAATCAATATCTTCCTTTTTGGGCCCACTCCCACCATTATTCTTATTATTTTCTTTCAGAATGGGTGTTAAAAGACGAATTCATTGTGAAATGGAATATTTGTACTGAAGAGGGAAAGAACTGGAGATGTCATAGCAAGAAACTTCATGCCACGTACTTTTTATGAAGTTGGTTGTTTAATTACTCTTCCAGTATTAAGAATTGTAAGTTAGGATCATTATTGCATGTCGAGCAGTTGATGGATTGAGAATTGGCAGGGAAAACCATAGTACTCGGAGAAAACACGCCCCAGTGCTGTGGTTACAACTCCACACACACTGTTTAATACTTCGTGGGGGGGGGGAACAATGGATTAAGTGTTCATTGAGGAAAACAATGTGGAGGGCATGTGGAAGACAACAGACAAATACTCAAATGGGCGGCAGTGTTGAAGATTGTGATAGTGGTTTGAACCGTTTGAACAGCGCAAGGACTTTGTTTATTCAGCGACCTCCGACTCATAATCAGAAATATAAACTCAATTATCCTCTAACGTCGACTAACATTTCCTACATACATGTAACCGCATGTTAATATGTAGAGGTCAGACATAGATGGCAGCACACGTATGCAAGCTCATCAACCAGAATTATTTATTCTGAATATTTAATAACTTTAGGAAATCAAAAAATAATTTAAAATAATTTTTCAGTAAAAATATTCATAATTATTAGAGTTTCAATTTTATATTTATAACGCACATAGCTTCGTTGTTAACCAATTAGGAAGCTCACTTGAGCTGATTGGAGGAATCTTGTGTTCGGCTGTGGTCGACAGTCTCTTGTTCACATTTGGAAACGGTTTTAATTCTAGTTGGAGCTTTCGCATATGAGGTTGTGTATTATTCAAGGCAGTTTTGATCAATATGGCTCTTCGATTTGGAAGCAATATAAACGTAAGTTTTATTATATTTTGACCTGAAACATATTCGACTAATGCTGTAATGGGGGCTCGAATTTCTTTTCCACATGCTTCACGTAATTTGGAGGGGGAAGTTCTACTTTTAAAAAATACATAGTTTTGTGTCCTGGCAGTGCGTATGAATTATTTTTTGGTAGTTTAGATCTGTCTGGGAGCATACGTGGAAGGGTTGTATAAATTTGCATGGATTATAAGGTAAACAGAATTTTCACTCAGGTGATTCAAGTATTCGGAAATATTCATGGTGAAGGGTCGGCTTGCTTTATAAGGCCGCGTGAACATATATTTCTAAGTTTTGGAGCATGAATTTCCGTTGAACTTTTAATGCATGGCCTACGTTGAAAGTTAAAGGTAAGCGCACTATGTATTGGTTTCTTTTATTTTCAGGATTTTGATGATTCTCAAAATTCAATTTTTATCCGTGAACAGTAAACAGTCTAAAGTAGCCTTGATTATTACTTTCGACTCAAACATACTGTGTTTATGATTTTATACTGGTACAAAGTGATTAATAAGCAGATTGTGTCTAAGCTTTCTATGTAGTTTAACGTTCCTTAGCCAGTTGAATCTGGTCCAGAGTCTCATACCACGTTTCTTTAAATAGTCATAAGAAATCAACTTTAATTTAAATTGTGATGTAGCATATTTATGTATGAAGTTCAGGGTAATTCATGAGACCCTCTGGGATTTTTGAACTCTGCGGTACAGTAGCTAGTGGGTGGGAATGTCAACAGAGTGGTAGACACTTCAAGTTTTTGTGCTACCTTGCCTATTGATACGCTCCTTCCTGCTGTGTCTCTCTTGGTTGTTACACTGCCGAGTTCAGAAGTATTTTGGCTTGCAGCTGACAGCATCTCTAAGAGTATGTCACACCTTGAATAGGCTAGCTTATGGAAGAATAGTCCTTCATGTTCAACAAGATTTCCAATATGACAGTTTTGATTTCTGTGGTGTGTTGTAAACAAGTTTCCAATGACGGTACTATGCAATAAACAGGTCCCAGATTTTGATGACCTGAAACTAGTTTAAAAATGATGCAGAAAATCCAGAAAAGTGACCTAAAGTTGCAATAGATGACAGTTAACATGTGGAAACTCTCGAAGGTGAGCGAGTGCCAATTGTCCGACAGCACGTTCTTGTACTTGTACTTGGAGAAACTCCTTTCCACATGTGTAAACACTGGTAGTATACTTGAAGTGTACCAAATCACTAGCAGTAAGTTCCTCTTCAATACTGAAAGTGCTGAAGGACTCTCCTCTCAGAATTTGAGAAATGCTGCATAATGTTTCATAACCTGAGTTTTTGTGTAGAATATTTTCATTTTTCTTGACACCGTTTTACCAGTGTCCCCTGACACCTCCAAAGCACTGGCTATTTTTTTCCACCAGAGCGAGCGAATCTTGTAGTGTTGCTCCTTTCTCCAGACAGACATCGACCTGTCAAAGAGGTTACAAATTGTTATTTGCATGAACTTGGAAGGGGCCACATTGTGAGTGACCGCCGTAGTGCCCTGCTGCCAGCTTAAAATGTTTTCTGATATGTATTGTCAGCACTTTCCATAAAATGAACAGAAAGGATGGGATAGGATTGCAACTTATTATTGGCGGTAGCAGGTATTTGTGGTGCAGTTGGGGATAGGATTGCAACTTATTATTGGCGGTAGCAGGTATTTGTGGTGCAGTTGCAGCCTGCCTTGGTAGAGGCAGGAGAAAGAGAAAGACAAAGAACACTTTACTTGCATATTATTCACATTTCTGAAAACCTATGAAGAAAAATTCCCTAAAATGGCTAAAATGACAAAAAATACTCTTAAAAGTCCAAACATTTACTGAAAAATTACCCCCAAACCGCAAAAATGACCTAAAACTTAAAAATTATGAAAAATGACCAAATATGAAATATAAAAGTTACATTTCTGTAACCAGCAGCTCGTCTCCAGGATTTACGAGCATCACATAGGATACAAGGAAAAGAAGATGACATGTCATCAAAATCTGGGCCCTGGTAATGAAGATCTGTGGCATTCTGATTGTCACCACAACAGTGAAAAATAAACCAATCTAATTGTTTACATTGGTTTTATTTAATAAGTGCTACATATTTCAGTCCATATTTAGGACCATCTTCAGGCAGTTTCATTAAATAACATCTCACATTATTGAAATATATTATTATGGATCCATATTAGTATTAATCATTATAATTATAGTGTGTGTAATTATTACTAAAATCATAAAAATTCTCTCATCGTTACAGTGTAAAATTCTGTGTTATCTGTTGTGTATTGTAGGTGGTTTATCATTTGAGATTTGCTGTTGTGTTTATATGTTTTGGTGCTATTCATACATAATATTATTATTAGTTTTCAGTTTGTATATATGTTTCTTCTTATCTCTTGAATATGGCATTGTGAGTGAGTGTTTTTTTCTTTAGACTGTGTTGTATGCTCCTTGTCCTGTGGATGTTTGTTTTTATGTTGTTCCTGTTTCTGGTTTCAATGTGGACACATTAAAGATAATCCTTAAAGGTGTTGCATTATTTCATGACCTATTTTGCATCTAGATTTCTGTGAGGCCCAGATATCTTTGAAATAGCCAAGGACAGAAGAGGATTAAGAAACAGCACTGTGCATGCTAGTTTCTTAAGTGCAGTACTTAGGTTTTTCTAACATGCCCCAAGTTTCAGTGCACTCGCTTCCAGACATAATTCTGTTTCATATTTGGGAAGTTACGTGCCCTGATCTTGACCTGGAGACCAGCTGTGTGGACTGATTTTTTTTTTTGTGGTTTTCCTCAGTGTGACTTCTACTTCCCAGTTCATTCAGTTGACCTGTCAGTCAGCACTGTACATGGAATAGAACAGTTAAATACGTTAACAACCCTACTGCACTTCTACCTAATCATGAAAATGACCCCTGTTAAGTTATTGTTTGTACCTATTTCTTAGGATAGCTCAGTGCATATAGCGACAGGCTATGGGCTGGATGGCCAGGGTCTGATTCCTGGCAGTGCAAGATTTTGTTCTCTCCACAGAGTCCAGACTGGCTCTTGGGTGCACTCAGTGGGTACTGGGGACCCTTTCTCCTGAGGTAAAGCACTAGGAGTGTAAAGATGACCACTCACCTTCATCTAGTTCTGAAGTCAAGAATGGTGGAGCTATACCTCCACTCCCCCGTATATCTTCATGGCATGGTGCTTAACTAATTAAGTTCAGGATCAACTTTACCATTTTTGTCTTTACCTGTTTCTTGGCAGTTGAAGATTCTCATGCTGAGTGTATGCATATTGTGTAGTAAGTGATATGTGGAGAATGTTTATTTTACAGCAAACTAGGGATCAAGAAAATATCCGTATTGGAGTGAAGGGTTTGGCGGTGGATGCACCAGCAGCAGCAGCTACCAAACGATCAGCTCTTGGAGAGATTGGAAATGGTCCTGCTGTATGCAAAGGGTTAGCGGCCAGGAAGGTGGGGGGAAATAAACTGAATGCCCCTCTACAGAAGTAAGTTTGACTAATGTTTATTCCATTTGTAGCCAGTTCTGATTAAAACTCATTTATAATTTATTTGCGGTGTTGATATAGTGTGTGTGATACAGGCACCAACTTGGTTTTTTGTGGACCATATATACTGGCATATTAGATGATCCTCTGAATTTTCAATTACATATTTAAGTTTCAGGACCTATTCACCAGTTCAGACACCTGTAAATTACTGTCATATGTATGAGTGACTGTAGATGGAATTTGGAATGATTATTGGATTTATTGAAGTCCCACAGCTTGTAACCACAAGTAACCATAGTGCTATTGCTAATTAGCATGCTTGACAGCACACTACAGCACATATTAAATCTTATCAGTCTGCTGTGTCTTCGCCAGTCATTGGTAATGGCTTCCAATGACAGACGTTCCCCTTACTCAGGGTTCCCGAATTATCCCCGTGCATCATCTACCAGCTTCTAACATCAGCAGCTCACAACAGCAGTCTTCTCACTCACTCACTCAATCTCACACCAACATGCTCCACTGCGCTGCACTGCACTAACTGAACTGAACTCATTTAGTTGAATGATAAGCCTCAGAATGGACCACATAGAAAAGACTGCTTCCAACAGTACTTCTGTTGTTGCATGCAGGCTTCTGCCAAGCAATGACTACAGTACTGTTGCATAGCAATAACTGTTGTCTTGTTTATTTCGTGATTGTTACCTGGCAGCAGGTCTGTGTGCCACAATATATTTTATATCTCACTGAGCATTCTTTGAAATTTATGGATGGTATAGATTAGAACCCCCTCGTTGGTGTCTCCACCTTATCGTGGTGAGGGGGTTTGAGCATGCCAAGGACCCTGAGAGCTATACCAGCGGTAGCGTAGCTACTGGCAGGGCCTCCCTTGCTGGACAGGTCAATAGGCATCAGACAAAGAGAGACACCAAAAGCAGACTGGTGCCGGAAGCAGCGTCATCAGCAGCGACTTGAAGCACAGAGCAAATGATGCTCAAGATGGTTCAAGTTCGTATAGCAACAGGCGTGACCAGAGCAGTTTGAACGGCTGCTGTACTGCAATGTGGAAAGAAAATGGAAAAACTACCACATTATCACTTTTCCTGGATAGTCTCTTTCCAAAAACAGAGACACCATGCATGCGAACCAGAAGACAAGGAAGAAGACGTAAGAAGATGCTGGATGACCTTGGGGACAGAAGAGGATATTTTCATTTGAAGGAGAAAGCTCTGGTTCACGTTGGAACTGTTTTGGAAGAGACTGTGGGCCTGTCGTCTGACAGATTACTGATGAATGAATGAGATTAGAAATCTTTACCTCAAGCCACCTGCTTCAAGTCTAAGAGAGTGAATCAGCATAACCAAACACATGGTTCTTCACTGTTTACAATATTGTGGTGGGTAGACCCGATGCTAGGCAATGACCGTGAAACAAATGGAGCATTGGTAATTGCTAGGCAACAGCTTGTGGAATCGGTCATGCGATAGTGTAGTTGGTTGAGACACTATACTACACGCCGGGAGGTTGGTTCGATTTCCAATGATTTCATTGGATTTTTTTCAATTTACCTAATCCTGTGGTCGACTCAGCCTCTAACAGAAATGAATACCAGGAATCATCCTGGAAACAAAGGGCAGCTGGCATGCAAGGCTGACAGCCTCTGCCATTGGTAGTACCTGCCGTCAGAACTTCTGGCCTGCTCATCTTGCTGTCTGCTTCTGCTGGTTTCTTGCTTGACTTACTTTTTGATCCTGAAGATGGTAGCAGTATGTTTATCTGAATTGTCAGTCTCTGTCTGAACTACACTGTGTTACAACAACGCTTTGTAGTCACTTCTGTGAGATCCTCAAATCCAACAAAGACCATAGCAGTTCTCATGTTTACCAGTAAATGAATGAGAAAATGGTCAAATAAAGACAGAGTTGAGATGAATCCTTGTCTATTTTGTTCAGTCTTACTGTACTGATATTACCCCTCTCCTCTTACTATGCATAATCTTATTCCTGTCCCAGTGGTCTTCAGTCTTGTGTCCACTGGCAGGGCCCATCATTCATATCAGGGCTCCAGAAATAACATTGGCATTCAAAATGGACAAGTTAACAAACATAGCTGCTGAATACTTTTTAGTTTTTTCTTAATGTATGTGCTAGTGGATCTGGCTTAGTGGCTGTTAGGTCTGTGTCATGTATGTACTGGAGTTGTTGGTAGATCATTTGCCTTTGACCATTTTTCCTCTAATTTTTTTATGGGTACATTTCTTACATTAAACACCACTTGCTTTACCAAGTCTATGTCATGTAACTATTTTCTGCTGCCAGTAGTAATGAAGGAGACAGTGAATAATGTATAAGAGAGAAAACATGTGAAGTTGTGAAGATGCTGTGAAGTGGATCTCATAGTCCCTGAAATGTACGTAACGAAAAGGAAGAATGGGAGGTGAATATTGTCCAACTTTTTTTAATGCTAGTGGGGTGGGACTAAGTCCCTTGTACTGCGGCCACTTCTGGCCTATTGTACCAACCCCAGATGATAGGTGAGGGTGATTATGGAGCAATTGGTGGAATGAAGATTGGCAGGGGAAACCAAAATACTCAGAAGAAACCTGCCCCAGTGCCACTTTGTCCACCACACATCCCACTTGACCAGACCCAGGATCAAACCCAGGCCACTGTGGTGGGAAGCCAGCGACTAACCGCTTGAGCTATGGCGCGGCATTGTCCAACTTGCAAATGTAACAAGTTACTTACAGTGGTAATCTACAGTTAAAGTTGCTCCTTTGTTTAATTAAGCTTTACCTGCAGCAAAAGAGTTTCTGGCAGCCATTGGTTAGGAGGCTGGGTTGGCCACTTTGGAGAAGAGAATCTCCACCTCCTGCTGGGGATCACTCAGCCTGTAGCCTAGTATTTTATACATTGTGGGAAATTGTTTCTTTGCAGTTGGTAGTGTTCTGAATCATGGCATTACGCAATATGAAAGTTAAGCAGAAAGTACTTTTACTGAATAAAATTTTTCTCTTGTGTTTTGTGAAAAAGAAATATTAACATGTTTAGTGTTGTTACAACACTGCCCAGAGACAGTATACAGTATGGTGTTCAGTGCATCTGTGTGAAACAAGAGGCACCATGCAAGAAATAGCTTTTGCCATCTGACTGTTTGTGGGAAGTTAAGGGAAGGGTGGCCATGCCATAGCTCAAGCGGTTAGTTACTGGCTTCCCACCGCGGTGGCCCTGGTTCGATTCTGGCTCTGGTCAAGTGAGATTTATGGTGGACAAAGTGGTGCTGGGGCAGGTTTTCTCCGAGTACTTCTGTTTCCCCTGCCAATCTTCATTCCACCAAATTCTCCATCATAATAATCACCCAGGGCAGGCTGCAATAGGCTACAATAGTGGCCGCCATGCCGAGTGGACCCAGTTGGACTCCACCCCCCCACTAAACGAATTTAAAAAAAAATAAGGGAAGGGTATTCAGTGCCTGTTCTAGTATTTGGGGATCTGAGAGAATATAATTTTTTTTTGTGGAGTGGGGTGAGACTGAACCCCTTCTTAGTGGGCCCTCAAATGAGCCCCTTTTACCGGCTCCTGATGATAGTTATGTATGCAGAATTATTGGAATTCTCATTGGCAGGCAAAAACCAAAGTCCTCCACACAGAGAAGCCAGTGACTAGTCACTCATGCTGTGGCACTGCCTTTCAAAGTACATAATACGGGAACTGAGTCTTGTCACTATTGACTTGTGGATTTAGGACCCAGTTCTGTGTGTACTAGAGCTTTGGAGGGACATGTTCAGGATAGAGAGTCTGCTTTATATGGATGTGCAACATTGTTTTTCTGTCACAGAGGAGCTGAAGAGGCGGTTCTTGCAATTAAGTCTTCGAAAAGTCAGACGCCATTAAAGAAAGCTTTCAGTACATCTTCCATACCAAATGAAGTCACAAGTTCCAGTTTGATTCCTGTTGAAGATATTGATAAAGATGATAAAGGAGATCCATTCCTTCTTCCTGAATATGTCAATGATATTTATGCATACTTACGAGAGGTGGAGGTAAGAACATAATTCTGAATACAGAAAGAGAAAATTGTTTTAAGTGACCAGTTTGTAATGCAGTTTGTAACAAAAGTGTGTTCTTAGGAAGCTAAGAGTTGATCAGGTAGTTGAAAAATTCCTGGAAATGTATGGAACCCAAATGTTTGTTGTATTTGAAAGAGCCTGCCATGCCCTTTGATTTGAGCATCTTAATAATGTTCACTGTGAAGTAAAAATTATGTAGTCATGCAGCTATCAGCTTCCTGTTACTTCCTCCTTAGGTCCAAATGTTCTCTCAGCATCCTGTTCTCTAATACCCTTAATATATATCCTTCCCTTAATGTGAAGAACCAAGTTCTACACCCATACCTGTATGGTAAAATTGTAGTTTTGATATTTTAATCTTCACGTTCTTAGATGGCAGGAAGACCTCCATAATGTAGTGTAGTCTATTGAAAGTAAATTGACTGCTTGCTATCTGCTTCATGCTGGTTACTTGCATGGTTTGTTCTTCGACCTTGAAGATGGAAGCAGCCCTGGAAAATGTCAGTTGACTTTCAATGGACTACACAGTATTCTATCCCAGAAAATGACTTTCTTCTTAACCACTGTTGTGAGCAACTGAAATCATACACGTTTGATTTGTAACTGATTTGGTAGCGTGATTCTCAGATATATTGTTATATTTTCAAAGGATTTTCCAGCTATCTTTATATCATGATTTTGCCCTGTATTCTGGTTATGAGACAGCAACATATACTTAGTTTTGTCTGTTTACTCCTAGACCAGCCTCCTTACTAGCGTCTGATGGAACTTATTTATTTTTCATTATAAATTTCACCCAATGATGGTGTTGCTTTGAACAGCCTAGTTACAGTGATCATCTTGATGTACATTTTCAGGTGATGCATTGTTAAATGGTGTACATACAACCACAAATTCAGCAAGTATGGTTATGCTATGTAAATACTGTACTTTAACTAATTGTCAATAGATTTTCCGTCAAGTGCAACAATGTATATTTTGATCACTTAATTATCTCATCTGCCTTACATGTTTCGGTTCCAAGGAACCATCTTCAGAGGCACTTATAACAAACCATGAAAACACTGGCACAGCTCAACATTCGCAATATGTAATTATTCATGGAAACTATTACATATAACGGAGTGTAAAGCACAACACTTCCCAGTATCTTGAATGCAGGTATAGCACTTGCATCTAAAGGACCACCCTCAAAACCGAGTCGTCAACGTTAAAATTTAAAGTTAAAAAATTAAAAAACGTTCTAGTAAAATATTATTCAGGCTCCTTCTTGGTGAATCGTCCCAATGGGGGGAGGCGTCAGCACAGAGTTGTGTAGGCTTGTGGTCGGGTGTATCTTACGCGGTGTGTGTTTCACAGTCATCCTTAGTTCCTCAAGACAAAATGCTTCCTTCCATGTCCTTTCCTATTCATTTCCATTGTCATCCAGGTATGTAGAAAATAATACTTTTATTAGTGATAATTGCATTAATGAATTCTAGGAGCTCCTGATATAGAAAACACTTTGGAAATTCTTAGAATTTGTTATGGAGAATGCTTTAGAAATTGCAGTTCTCAGGCTCTGACTAAGAAGATTACTGTCTTTTGCAGGTAGATATTTGCTGATGTTTTGGGGTAGAAGAGGGTTCTCTTCTATTCTGAAGATGGAAGCAATATATTTCTCCAGAATCTCTCTTAACATCAGACCTCTGTGGTCTAGTGGTCAGAGTTACTGTCTACAGAACCAGAGGTCCCGGGTTCAATTCCCGGCGCTACGAGATTTTCTGAGAAGTAGTGGGTCAGGAACGGGGTCCACTCAGCCTCGTGAGGATAATTGAGGAGCTGCTTGAATGGAAAAGTAGCGGCTCTGGTCTAAAAAACCGAAATTAACAGCCATGGGAACATGTTGCACTGACCACGTGGCGCACTCTGTCCACAAAAGATGGCACTAACTTTGCTGACAAGCGGCGGTCGCTCAGTTGGTATAGTTCTCTTGCGAACCAAAAGTCATGGAGTTTGTTTCTTTTTTGTTTGTATATCTCTTAACATATATCAGACTGCATGACATCACATCCCAGGAAGGTGGTGATCTTCATGGACAATAATTGTCTCATTTTAATATAGAGTAAATTCTTTGTTTCTGGCATGTATGGGGAATGGGGTCTGCCTTTAAAATGATACTGCCAGTTGCTTGAGAAGAATTCATTGGGGACCCAAATTTTTTTTGTTTGATTTTTGTGTGGGAGTCTGTAGATGATACAGCAGATTGATGAATAAAATATTTTGGATATGTGCCATAATGTGATCACAAATTCTGCTGTAATGGCTTCTGTGTTAGGGAGTGTGACAAGTAGTGCTGCCAGTGGCAGCTGGGAGAACTACCACATGGTGGTTAAAAATATACACATCACAGATTTGTTTTTTAATAACTTTGTAATAATACATTATCTTCAAAATGTTTACCTCTTGGTTGAGGATTATAGATGCTTGGACACCAGACGACATGGAATTCACTGTATTCATTGTCTGATGGAGCTGCAGCTTATGATTTGCCTTCATAGAAATAAATTTAAATTACTAGTAATTAGTAGTGTCAACAGTAAGTTATAGGAAATTGAAATTTTGATGTAATAGATGAGCATACACTATCTCTCTCCGTGTTTCTCCCACTTTGGAGCATGGGGCATCTGTGAAATGCTTTGTTTCACTTCAGGTTCTTAATCCTAAAAGAATTGGTAGGTCTCCTTGGATGAGAGATCAGCCTGTCACAAGGCCTGTACTTGCACAAACACAGAATAAGTGCAGACTAACATCCATGCCTTGAGTGGGATTCAAGCCCACATTCTTGGCATTCGAGCAAGCGAAGACATTTCATGCTTTAGACACTGCAGCCACTGTGATTGATGCTGTACACTATAGGCATAATAATTCAGGTGGCATGCTAGAGTGCAGGACCAGGGAGTCAAACTCAGGCACCTCAAAGTGTGAACTGTAATGGACCTAATAGAATACTAGTTCATCATTCATTCAATTAGTCCTCATACTCGTATAATACTCCTTAATGTACAGAGTGGTATTCTGTTGAAGGGCTACTGGTTTAAATGATTTTATTCCAAATTTGTAATTGGTTGTTAGATATTAAATGTGTAAAAGACACTATTGTCTGGGAATAGGTGATTTTTAAATGTCCCGGTAGATACAGGGCTGGTGGTCATATTCTAACTTGGAGATAATTTTAATAGCTGACTGCTTATTTTGGAAAAATGAAAAGAAGCTTATGAAATCACCTTCTGTCTTTGAATGTGCTTATATCTTTGCATCTATGAGTGTATCCATTTGTGTCTGTCCACCTATCTGAATATCACCCTCTAATTTTTGTTATGAGGATTATGAAATCACCTTGTTAATTATATGTGTGTGTGTGTGTGTGTGTGTATGCGCACGTATTACCTACTAATTTTTGTCAGGAATGTTATGAGATCAGCTTGGTGCCTGTGTCCCCCCGCACCCTCTTGCTAGGCAACAGGCTGTTGCTAGGTATTATTATATAATATTTTTCTGTGTGTCTCTGTGTTCCCTTATCCTCTCATTTTCTGTGTGGTCCTTGTCATATGAAAGGAAAGTAGGCAACTAGTTCTTCCCAGAATTTTTTGCTATTGTTGAAAAAATGTGACAGTTGGCCAGCTGGACTGCATGTGTTCATTGTTGCAGTAATGCATTTTATGCCCAGTAAAGCTCTTAGTTGTTATACCTGTAGGCAGTAGCTGTAACCAGATTTACAAAGTTACACATTTTATATTTAACTTCAAGGTCACTGGTGATGTGCTTTTCTTTTGTCATGCTTCAGTATGTAGCATTCCTGTTCCATACTCGAGAAGTCCTGAGTTCGAATCTGGTCCCATGCACCAGCACCAGCACCATTCTGCCAGAGATTTTCTGTGATGTTCTGATCCCGAGAGACATATTCCTGGGCAGTACCTAGAATTAGACCTTGACCACTTCGTTCCACATCCTTCCCAGTTCATTACTCACTGATCATTCTACCATTTGACACTATGTAGTCTGAGCTACTGACAGTGTTGTTAAATAAACCATAAATATTTGAAACTTGGGTTGATTTGTTGTCGAATTCCAGGCAAAATATCCCATTAAAAAGAACCATCTAGAGAGCCAAGAGGTGACTGGTAAGATGCGGAGTATGTTGGTCGATTGGCTTGTGGAAGTGCACCAGGAGTTCCACTTGTTGGCCGAAACCCTGTATCTGACTGTGGCCATCATTGACAGATACCTTCAGGTAGATCTGAAAATGTTTAAGGGCATTTTCTGTTTAGTATATGAGATTTTATTTTATTCTGGGGTTATAGCGTTCATATCTGACAAAAATCTTTCACTCTGCACAGTAATTAAAGATCGTTCCTTGTTGCGAGACATATATTTTGGGATCCCTTTGATAAAAACAATAGAAGAGGAAAGTTTACTATTTTATAAGAGTCCCCCCCCCCCAAGACGCACAGAAGGTAAGTTTCTTAATACACAGTACTTGTTTGGAATTCAATTTTTTGTGCTTTTGCAGTAAAGTTGTAAAAATGTGCCTGTTGGCTTTGCCGTAATAGAAAGTTCAATGATTAAAAATTGTGGGAGTCTTGATAGCTTAGTCAATATAGTGTTGAGCTACTGGCTGGAGAGCGGGGTTTGATTCCCAGCGGTGCAAGATTTTCTCTGCTCCACAGTATCCAGACCGGCCCTGGGGCCCACCCAACCTCCTATCCAGTGCGTACTGGGAGCTCCTTCCCCAGAGGTAAAGGAGCAGGGGTGTGAAGCTGACCACTCTCCCCTACCTAGTGCTGAGGTCATTACTTTCTTTTTACACTGTGATAAACTTGTAGTTACTCAAATGCCTATGTAATCCTTTCATCTGCATCTTGAAAATGGTGATGTGCATTGAAACCCATATTTTAGTTTTCCTTGTGGACTGGTGGATGTGAACACTGAACTTAATCATAAATGCAGCTAATTCAGCACTCAGATTATTGAGTTGGGATCATTGAAATTGAATGTCAAATGAATGAAGACCTTAGCATAAATATGGGGCTTCCATTGTATACACAATACAACAAGGTGTTTCGGGTGGGGTGTGGAGAGGTTGAAGTTAAGAATGTTGGTTAACTCGTTGAATCTGATGATGGTGACTGTGTAGAATGTGATCTCTTGGTTTGTAGTGCTGTGTAGTTTGTAGAGAGATCCCATTCTCAAAGGAACATATTGCTTCCACATTCAGGGTTGAAGATTAAACCAGCAAATGCAGATGATGAGCTCAGGTGCCATTCTTCTGAAATGTCTGGCTCTGTCCAAACTACAAAGCATTAGAACACTGTGCACTTCATTTGGTGATTTATGTAGTACTAGGTTGAACAGTTTATATAAGATAAGTAAATTAGCTGACTTCATTTGTTGTTGGAAGCAGATCACCAGAAACTTCACAAATTTACCTCCACATTTTTGCAAGCTGAGTCTTTACGTTCTTACTTCTTTTTGTAGTAGTTTATGTAGGAGAACAACTGTTGCAGGAGTTTTATATTTTCATGTACCAAAGTGTTATTTTTTTTATTTACTCAAATTTATAGCTGGTAGCAATGATATTAGAAATAAAGAGTATAGGAAAGTGTTGACGTTACAGCAAGGACAAAAAAAGTGGTGCAGTTCTGTGCATTCTTGGCATGCTGAAACATGTTTAAGCGGCAGCATAAGTGTGGTTTTTGAGCAAACAGTGGATGTTTATGTTTCTGTACTCTTCAGAATGCAGCTCAGGCAGTAAGATACATACATGGACTTGAGATTAATTGCAAAAGGAAGAATGTTTATCAGGAGTGGCCTGTTGTTGGGAGGATCATGTTAGAAGCCGGTTTTACTATATTGTTAACTTCCTGTGGAATATGTTCTTTTTGACACATGTTTCAGGAAGTTCATACCACCACTCGCAAGAAGTTGCAGCTGGTAGGTGTGGGTGCCATGTTTTTAGCAGCTAAATATGAAGAGATGTTTGCTCCTGAGGTGGGGGACTTCGTGTACATTTGTGCTAATACTTATGTGAAAGCAGAAATACTGCAAATGGAAAAGGTCATTGTACGAGCACTGAACTTCAATTTCTCGCGACCACTCCCATTGCATTTCTTGCGACGATACAGTAAAGCTGCACATGTGAGTAACAAAGCAGTTCATAATATTTTTTGCCTCTTCTCTTTATTTAGCAAGGAAGATGTGGACATGGAATGAGTGTATGCCCCTTAAAATTTTTTAAGCTCTTGAAGCTTTGCTATGTTGACCTCAGATCTCATGCATCAGTACTCTGTTTACAGGTTCAAAGTTTGCTTTTGTTGCAGGCACTGCCAGTCCACCATGCTATGGCTAAATATTTACTGGAGCTGAGTCTGGTAGACTATGACATGTGCCACTATGCGCCTTCATTGATATCTGCTGCTGCTATATATCTGGCTCTGTGGTAAGGTTATCAGGAAATGCTGTCTCTCTTGCATCCTTACCCCCCTTGCTGGCTTGTGTTACTTTAATGTAGCAAGGCAGTTATTCCACAGTATGATGGCTAAACTTGTTTGGCCATAATAGACTTCATCTTATCACATATTTTTGTATGCTCTGATACTGTGACATGTAGATACATTGCCAAGTAACAGCTTTGTAAACAAGCCTAGGCTAGGAAACGGTACTGTGGACACATTGTTTCCCAGCAATAATAGACTTTTTCTGTGCAGTCCCTGTTGGGACAAGCCAGACTGTTGGAGGTTGAAGTTGGCAGTTAGGAGTCTTGAGTTGCATTGTTAGCAGCTGCTGCCTAGTAATGACTAGTGAACAAACAGAAGACTTTTTGTCAGTGGTAGTAGTTGTGATATATGTGGTGCAATCAAAAAGTTCCCGAAATTTGAATTTTGTGCGTGAATGGTTATGAGTACATCAAAATACCGCTAAGTGTCTCCCCACACACCCTTCTTGAATCAGTGTTGCAAGCAGCGTCAAGTTGAGTGGTTGGGTTTATTGTTGGTGAACATATTTCCATTGTGTTTCCATGAGTTTGCGGTTTTACGATGGCTGACATGAGAGAGCAGCATGTTGGTATTAAGTTTTGTTTTAAACTTGGGAAAACCATTGCAGAAATGCATCAAATGTTGAAGCAAGCTTTTGGTGACAACAGTTTAGGCCAGACACAAACTTACGACTGGTATAAGGGTTTCATAAATGGCTGAACATCAATAGGGATGGCCGTCAACTGGCACCACACCAGAAAATGTCATGAAAGTTAGGGATCTGATTCTGCAAGATCGTAGACTGTCCATCCAAGACCTCTGTAACACCTTGGAACTAAGTTATGGTACATGTCAACGAATTTTGTCAGAGGAACTGAACATGAGGGGGATTGCGGTGAAGTTTGTGCCACGACTGCTGCAAAACGAACAGAAGCATCATCGCTTGGAAGTCTGCAGGGAACTTCAACAACAGCTTCAAGAGGATCCAAACTTTCTTTCGAAGGTTGTCACTGGTGACGAAAGTTGGGTTTATGGCTACAACCCAGAAAGTAAGCAGCAATCGTCACAATGGAAGAGCCCTTCTTCTCCTCGGCCAAAAATAGCTCGTCAAGTCAAGAGCAACATTAAGTCCATGTTGATCTGTTTTTTCGTATTGACGGGATTGTTCATAAGGAGTTCATCCCTCCTGGTCAGACAGTCAATAAAGAGTTCTATCGTGATGTTCTAAGGCGTTTGAGGGAGGACATGAGAAAACGTCCAGAGAAGTGGCGCACGAACGACTGGGTACTCCACCATGACAATGCACGACTGCATGCGGCTTACATTGTGCAGGAATTTTTGGCTAAAAACAAGATGGCAGTTGTTCCCCACCCACTGTACTTGCCAGACTTAGCTCCATGTGACTTCTTTCTCTTCCCCAAGATGAAAATCAAGTTAAAGGGGCGGAGATTTGATACAGTTGAGGAAATTCAAGGGGAAACGCAGACGGTACTAAACACCCTAACAAAGAAAGACTTTCAGGATGCATTTGAAAAGTGGCAGAAACGCTGGGATCGGTGTATGCGCTCCCAAGGGGACTACTTTGAAGGTGATGGTGTAGAATAAGATCTAGGTAAGACGTAATAGTTTTTATTAATATATTTCGGGAACTTTTGGATTGCACCATATATATATATATAGTGTGTAAATCAGTGAGACTGTTATAGTTATTTGTAGTTGCATGCTGTAAGTGTCCAATAAATCAAATTATCAATCTAAATGCCATGTCTAGTCTCTGACACATGACAGTGTGTTGACTGGAGAAGTATGTTAGCATTTTGAAGTATGATGTTCATCTAAATATTTCATAATTCATTTTCTACCTCACAGAAAGTTTTGTCATGTCATAGCTCAGGTGGTTTATTGTGGGCTTCCCATGGCCACCCGGGTTCAGTCCTAGGTCAGGCCATGGATTTATGGTGAGTAAAGTGAATTGGGGTCAGTTTTCTCTGAGTACCTAGGTTTCCCAAGCTAATTCTTACCCTCATCGACTACTCCACCTTCTTGAATCATCCTGTCATCTTTTGCTATATAGTCTTGATACTGACAATAAGCGTAGAAAACTAGTTGATGGTAAGATTTTATCTTTGGGTAGGGTAATGGTATTGGTGTTGGTATTGAAAAAACCCAACTCTCAGCCAGCTGAACAGCATGTATATGGCTGGTAGAGGTTAAGATCCATATATCCTTGTATTTATGTTTTTATTGGTTGCCCCTTTTGTATTTTTACAGGTTATTTCAATCTGAGAAAAAGGGTGTGTGGACAAAAACACTTGTCTACTACACCTCATATTCCTATAGAGACATAGAAGCAATTGTAAAGAAACTAGCTGGCCTTGTGGTGAAAGCAGGTACATCGAAGTATCAGGTTAGTTTTGTTCTACTGTCAGAAGCCATGAGTTGTACTTTGAAACTTTGGCAAATGATATAACAGTATCCACTATTTCTTACTGCAGCGTTAGTCAGCTGTACACTGCTTTTGTTTTGTATATTATTATTATTATTATTATTATTGGAGGGGTGGATTTCCTCATGCACTGCGACTAGTAGTCTGTTGTACGTCCCCCTTTGATATTCTACCAGTCGCCATACCCTACCGGTACTGGTGCGTGCTATCAGCCCCGTTCAGCCAACGAGGTCGGCCCTCGGTACCTGATGCTTCCCCCCCCTCTACCAGAGGCATTGGAAACTACTTGGGCGGGAAACATGCCTAATTTTGCTCAGAGGTCTCCTAGAGACATGAGGGTCTTTTACGTGCCATAAATCTACGACACAGGACCCACTGTTTAAAGTCCCTCCCGGAGGACTTGTTCCCTGAATTTTTCCGCCCTTAAAAATTCCACAACCTCCGCCGGGTTTGAACCCGCATACCTCGAGTCATGAGGTTGGAATGTTACCCCTAGACTACGGAGGCCGCTTAGAGAGGTTTAAGTACTTTTACATTAGCAGGGTTGCTGTAGACCCTAAAAAATTTCGTTTTTTCCTCTTTTTTAGATTGAAACTAGGACTGTATGTATGTTGAGGGGTGGATGTGTGTCTTTCACATGCTTTGATATGGAGCATCATCCTGCGGAATGGACTGGAGTGTTAACCCCATTAGCACTGTAGTAACAGATATTGGACTGTAAAGTAATATTATATTGTAGCATCCTGTTGTACTTTTTCACTTAGTGTTTTAAATTAGTTCTACAGTTGGAAAAAAAGAAGAGGAACATGATACAATGGGGAACATAACACATCAAGGAGGAATACACACACATGTGCACCAGGGGAACCATATGTTAACAAATAAGCATCAATGCAGAAAGACAGCAGTTTCCTCATCCACAATTTTTAACCCTGGATGATGACCACTTTGGTCAAAACACTTTTATAGTGACTAGCTTTTTTCAAGTTTTATTAAATTGTTGCACATAAGACTGTAGAACTAATTAAAAACACTAAGGAATATAAAGCCTGTCCCTTGAGCACTATATATGTAAATGAAATAACTGGAAATATTTAATGTTTTTATGCATATTTTTCAATTGAAGAGAGAATTTTATTTCAAAAGGAAAATGGAGGTGGAGAGCATGAATGTTTGCCGAAAATCAAAATGAAAGATTGTCATACCAAAGAGGCTGGGATCAGAAGTTTGCAAGATAAGATGGATTCACCTTACTGTGCTGATGCCATGGGAGATATCCCACGGATTGGAGCCCTTTCACATTTCCCTTATGATGTGCTTTCCCTTCCAGTGTACTTTGCTATATTCCTCTCCAGTCAGCCAGGCCTTCAGTTTTGCATAGTGTTGGTAGCAGAACTCCTGTGTGCTAATGACAGGAAGTTTAGGGTTCTTGACATAGACCAAAAGAGGGCTGGAGGAGAATGCAGGAGGCAGGAAGGCCACAAGCATTCTCATTCCCAACATGTACGAGTATGTTACCCCTTTATGCTGCTTCAGTGTAGCAGTTTGTTGTTGTGGCCAACTCTTTTTATCTGCTTCTTAGCTGAAATAAACACCTCAACCCTGTCAAGCCTGAAATTCATCTAACATTTAAAAATTCAGTTTTTACCTCACAAGAGACACACCATATTTTAACCATAAAGAACTATCAGTGAAAGCTGTCCGAAAAATAATTGATATTTATTCTGACAGTCATACAAAAAACACAAATACACTCTATGGGAATTTTTTTTTATCTTGCCACAGGTTGTATGTATTGTGACCACTGCATTTTAAAGGATTAAGTATAAGGTCTATAGCCTTTTGACAGTTGTACCCTTACTGTCAATTCCCAGAATACTGCATGATACTGGAACTTGACAACCTCAAACATTTTATTTTATGCACAAAATATTTTCATTATTTGAGGTTTTCACAGTGGTGAAAATGTAGATGTTTCCTCTGGAGCTATGATGCTGTGAAGACTGGTTGGTGGGTACCGATCCTTTGCCTCCATCTTCAGGTTAGAAGACTCTTTCTTCTGCTCAGCAGATGGAAGCAGTATTTTTCTCCAAAACAATGGCTATGATCTACCACAGTACATGGTGTCTCATCCCAGAAGATAATTATCTTCATTATTCATGTCCATTTTTTTATGCTAACCATCTTACAGTGCACACAAATTTCACCTTTCTCTTCACTTTTACACTACATGTTTCAGCACTAATGTGCCATCTTCAGGTATGTCTCTATGTGCGTCAAACTACTGCACTGCATGCCGTGACGTCGTCATTCTAAAATGACTAAAATGTGTATTCGTCATGTATAACAATAAATTCTAAATATTAAAACCTTTCAGGATTCGTCATCCATACATCATATCTCAAATACGCGAATCATGCCAATCCTCCTCTATGGGAGCACTCTTCCTACATTCATGTGTGTATTGTGCTCTGTGTTGTGTCTTACTCCTATGACTGGACATGATTCAGTGCAACAGGATGCTAAAATATAACATTATCTTCATTTTTGTTACTGTGCTATGAATGATTGTATGCCTTCAAGTGTGTCTTTTGTTATAGATTAGGCCAATTAATGAATATATAAATTTATATAATATTACTCTAGATTATAGTGAAATTCTGGCCTAGTGTATCCATATTTCTTGAATTCCCAATTTAGCAAATATCTTTTCAGATACAAGCCAAGGCCTGATGTATAAACAGTGTGTTGTTTTCTCAGTAAATTTCACTTTATCGAATAACCCACATTTGGTGTAAGAAATTTTTGATGCTCCAGAACATCAAATTTGGCTTGACTGTGGCTGAAACAACAATTGATGTTCACATTTTCTCTCTGCTGAAAATTTCTACCATACAACCATTATGTTTATTTCATTCTGTCTTTAATCATTTTAGAAATTAACTTGATATTGTCAATAATTACATGAGTGCGCAGGTGTGTGTGTAAAAGCAGTTCCTTTAACTATTTATGTAAAGAAATAATTCTGTCATAATTGTACGCATTCAGTTTTATAAGAAGATTAACAGATTTTTCATGTAATTTTGCATAACTCCCAAATTAGTGAAAATCTTGATCTAGAATAAGAAAAGCTGTTCCATGAGATGTTCAGTAAGTGTGAATTTCGCTGTAATGACATGCAACATAGTCCTTGATAAGCTAATAGTCCCTCATTGGCTTCAGAAATTGGAGGCTGAAAATTCATTGCTGAAATCACAAGGGCCTATGACTTGTGCCTTTTGTGTTCAGATGAATCCAGTCAACATTCTTCAACTGTATCCTTTTAACGTTCAGTTTCATATTATCCTTTGGATCCAAGATAACACAGTATAGTGACTGGCTACAGGCTGGATGACGGAGTCAAAATTTGAGTCCCAGCAGGGTCAAGCGTTTTCTCTTCTCCATCTAGTGCAGACTAGCTCTGGGGCCCCCAACTCCCTGTCCAATGGGTACTGGGGGCTCTTTCCATAGGGGTAAAGCACCCAGGGTATGAAGCTGACCACTCACCTCCAATTAGTGCTGAGGTCAAGGAAACTTGGATCTATACATCCACTCCTCCATACAGCTTCATGGCGTAGTGCTTAATTAGTTAAGCACAGGGACAACTTTACCTTTTCTTACCTTGTCATATTATTCTCCCGTATGTGCATTCTTCTCCAGAGTGTTTTCTTCCCTTCATAATTTCTCCCATGTGTGCTGTGTGTCCTGCTAATGTGAAGCTCTTGAGTATGGTATTTTCTCCAGCCCCCTTCATTTCCTGTCACTTAGGTCAAAGTATTTTCCATGGCACCATGTGCTATAGTTTTTGTGTTTTTGAAAGTTGCCCCATTCTCTGGCAGATGGTGTGGAAGTGTTTGTTTTGCAGGCTGTGAACAAGAAATATGCACAGAGCAAGTTTTTAAAGATCAGCTGCAGACCAGAGCTGAAATCTGCTGCTTTCAAGAGACTGGCAGCTTCATGAAATTGGCGCATGCTACAAGATATTTGCAACCAGTGATGGGACTGATCATGTTCTCTGAGCCAAAATTGCAGGTTTAAAAACCTTTTCTATCTCTGAACATCAATAATTGAAATTCCAAAGTTGCATATCACTTGATGACATGCTCTTGGATGAGTATAAAAAGTTTTAGTCATAAATTTGATTTTGGGTTTTGTACTTTATGCCCTTTTACATAATTGCCAAAGTTTTTGTACTTTCTTATTATTTCCTGAAATAACCAAAGTGAGAAATGCAACTAACCAACTGCAGTACATCACCCCACATGATGATTTATAGAAGCTGGTGGAAAATCTTAATGTGCACATATTAATTTCTGAATATCAAAATTGTTCAGTGTTGTGTGATTAAAACTTGAAAGAATTTTAACCATTGCTGATATCTAATATGGTTTCTACTGTTGAATAGAAACTGTTATAATGTTGCTGACAGTTTTCACCAATTTGCATGATGCTGTGAGAGAGAACAATTGTTTTGTAGTCAGCACAATACGTTGAAGTCTGAAGGCATTAAAAATTACCACAAAAACATCGACATCAATAAGTATGTCGATGTTTTTGTGGTAATTTTTAATGCCTTCAGACTTCAACGTATTGTGCTGACTACAAAACAATTGTTCTCTCTCACAGCATCATGCAAATTGGTGAAAACTGTCAGCAACATTATAACAGTTTCTATTCAACAGTAGAAACCATATTAGATATCAGCAATGGTTAAAATTCTTTCAAGTTTTAATCACACAACACTGAACAATTTTGATATTCAGAAATTAATATGTGCACATTAAGATTTTCCACCAGCTTCTATAAATCATCATGTGGGGTGATGTACTGCAGTTGGTTAGTTGATATTATCACCTCCCAAGTGGAAGCATAAAATGCTCAAGTTTAGACTTGATGATACAGAAGCACTTAATCTGAAGTCCATCTATGCACTTGTGAGTAATACAGTGCAGGATAAAAGAATAAGCAAGGCAATTCAATTTTTTATGTTTTATGGTAATTTGTAAAGCATGTTGTGCTGACTATAAACCCTTGCATTTGAATGCTGCCTAATGGGAACCTACAGATAATTTTTGGAGTTAACTCAGATTTTCCCATACCACAAGTTACTTTTAAGTGATGGAAAAATTAAACTATTTGTTTTTTTTAGAAGGTATGTGCCTCTTTTCTTGGAGGCCATCCTGTAGACATTCTGACACAGCTTGTGGGGTGAGGACCATGTCCTTTAATTTGTGTTACTCAAGGATTCTTATACAATTTTTAGTCGCATGACAGGGTCCAAAATTTGTATTTACATTTATGAAGACATTCTCATTGGAGATGTTTGTATATTCATGAGATGTGCAGATTTGTTTGTATGCAGTTATAATTGTAACTGCTGCATGCTGATCAGTCACACAATTGAATTTATTTTCAGACAAATTCCAGTGCTAATGGTATTGAATATTAAAATGTACTAATGCCGCAATAAATGTATTATGTGAAAGTAACAAAGTTATTAAATAGTTTGAGTGTTTTTTAGCGTTGTATTAACAATATTTGGAACATTTCTTAGTATTAATTCAATATCAATTCTAAGTTTGTGCATTGGAAATTGGTCTGTGAGCATTTCATTTGCAAATGAAGTTGTGGTTATTTTTAACCCTTTCCGGTCATCGCATTTAGAAAAATTTCCGCAGCCGGGTTGTCAGGGGTTTTTAAATGGCTGCCGAGCCATTAAGTAAACTTTTGGCCGACAAGTTGGTGCAACAAAAGCATAAATTTAAAAGGCCAACTGTGTACTTACATTTTTTATTGTCCAGTTCTTTGGCTGACCCAACACTGCTATAATATTTGTCATGAAATGGTGATATTCTTCAATACCAGACACACTGAGTCATAGTCTGTCCATTAAGGAATGAACTATTCTTGAAATGAACTGTTTTTCAGAGTATGGTAAGTTACACACGTCACCTATAAGTTTCCTGTAATTTGGAATTATACTGTGAACATAACCAGTGTCACTTTCAGCTAATGAAAATAACCTGATGCCTCACTTTTTTTTTATTATAATTTAAAAAAAATATTTTGCACTTGAACACAACTGTTGGTTCATCTGTTACATTGTTTTTAACTGGCACACAATTTTTCTGATGGCCCAATTGCTTTAATTGGTGGCATCATTTCTTCACATGCATCATCGCCCATTGTCACGTCTTCCCATCCACCAACACGCAACAACACTTGTTTCGCTCTCACCCTCACTTGCCGACATTTCTTTGCTTGATTCTTCACTTGCAGTTTCTCCTTAAATTTCCAAATTAATCTCATCATCATAGTCAATATCAAGTTCTTCGCTTAACATATCACTACTAGATACTTCATCCGAATCACACAAGGGATTATATCTAGTTTCTTCAATCTAGAGGGCCATGGTTCGGCTGAATGTAAAATGTGTGCCACTAACGTGACATGCCGTAATATATAAATGGCATTCGTTCCTCAAGAAGTTCAACTTAAGATGGCAGAAGGAGGCAGACAAAACATTAATGCAGGTGTTGGTATAGTGTACAGTGCCAACTAGTGACATGTGATCAAAATATGACTGCAGAAATAAGAAACAAACTTTGTCAATAATATATCGACGTTTGTCCATGGGAGTACAGTCACCATGTTGATTATATACTGAATGTTTGACTGAAAGGGTTAAAATTTGCATTCTGTTTTATGTATACAAGCAACATTCTGCCGTCAATGTAACAGTTGTTTATTAACACACATAGCACTGCATGTTTCTCATTTTGGTTAAAGAAATGCAGCATTTAGGAATCTGGCTCTGCTTCCATCAGGTAAAACTATGAGACCTGCTCCTTTGGATCTGTTAGATTTGTCACAAGGGGATAGCGATTACCTGCACCTGATGGACCTAAGAGAATGGGCTTCATAAATTTACGTGATGGTGGAAGCAAAGTCAGCTTCTGAAACGTTACTTTTTTAATTGAAATGTGACAACAGAAAGTGTCTGAAATATACATTGAACCAATATAGCATGAAGTGCATAATGTCAGTGCAAGATACAAGGAAGTAAAATTTCATCTGAGTGTGTGGGAAGGTTGTGCTGCTTTTAGGACTGGAAATTTTTAATGTCTCATTTTATAGATTTTTATGAATTGACTGAATGCTTTCAGATGTGTCTCAGTTTTATATATATATGTATACTTTTATTGACTGATGGTTTTGCATGTGAACATTTAGTAGTCATGTACATAATTTTTTGAAGTCTTAAGTTATAAATGCAAATACGATTTTGTGATAACTTGAATTTGGAGGATTTAGAAGGCTCTGTGTTCATTCATGTCAATGAACAATATGTTTGATATTTTGAGGTGGGTTTTACAATGTGTGTACCTTAGAAACAGGGGGTGATACCAGCAACTGTACCATACCTACTTGTGTACTTTTTATAAACAATAAAATTTTGTTTCGCATTCTGAAGTGACTAGTGTAACTCTTAAATTGAAGTGATATAAGAGATGCAAACAAAAGTTAATTTTTTTGAGTCATCCAAACGGCATTCTCTTATGTGATTGCCATCTTAGTAAATATGATTGAATTTTATATTTAATTCTATGAATAAAAGAATAAACTTGCTATCAAATAGTGTAATTAAAGTGTAGATTTGTTTGTGAAGTGTAGTTCTTGTGTTATGTGCTGTGAATATGAACTGGCTCTTCATTTTAGCTAAGGAGGTCAAGTGGTTTCTTTCCAGTTAACTGATTTTTAAACTGCTGAAATAAGTTGAGGGAAAAATATAGCACATGCACTTCATGGCGATGGAACTACATGTGACAGTAGGAGAGCTGAAAGTAATAGTAGTACAGTATTTTTTTTTTTCAAAAATAAATTTTAATGTCACAATATTGCATATATGTTGAGGTGTGGCTAAATAAATCTGTTTATTCACTTTGATTTGAGTAGAACCTGGCACAGTGTATGCTGAAATGTGGTTGCTAGTATGTGGAGGTACAAGAATAATAATTCTGTTAGGTACACATCACTACTTGAGGATCTTGTGCTACAAAAGTTAATATTTTTTTACATCAGACTATGAATGAACATCATGCCTTAATGTTAGAAATTTCACCAGTAAGTAGGAGTTATATCTCCTGGTATGAAGATTCTTTGTATGTTTATTTAAGTTTTCAGTATTGTATATCTAGACTAATAAAATGTAACCTGTTCCATTAAGTCAGTCTCTTTTAAATTTACTGTTTTCAGTTTCAGGACGGGCTGTGTGCGAAATAATGTCAGTTAACTCTAAGTTCAAGATTTTATTCTTTTTGGATGTGGTACCCTCTAGCCTGTTTTATGGATACTCTGAGGGTGGAGGCAACAAGTTCCTTTGAAATGCCAGTACTTACTGACCAAACTAAATGGTGTTGCATCTCGGAAGATTTTGATCTTGAGACTAATCATTATGAGAACCTGAAGTCTCTCTTAACTGCATCTTAATCTGCTATAGAAGATGTATCACGTTAAAAATTAACCTTGATCTTGAGATTCTGGTCTTCTAGGACGTGATGATGTGTTTTGGAGGAATATACTGCTCCCATATTCAGAGTTTAAGTGTGAAGAAAACCACACAGTGTCACAACCTGGAAGACAATCACCATGGTGGGAATCTCAACACTTAAAACTTTTATGTTCTGTGGATCATGTTAACCTTTAAACGCTGGGCTTTTGAAATGGTGGTAAGCTTGAGCTGGCCGGAGTTTATTTGAATGCCCGCTGCTGGTGCGCGTTTAAATGCATCTTGCTACGCTGTGTTTAAATATCCATTCCTGTTAGGGCACTTAAACAATTTTAAGCATTGTGTTTAAAAATACTGTGTCTAACACAATTTTTATGATAAATGAATGGAATTAACTTTGTTTGTATCAGAAAAGAACACAGTGTTGCGTATTACAACGGAAGATTTGAAAAAAATTATACAAAATGTTATACTCTATTTTCAATTTTTTCTTCTAATTTTGATGCGTACTGCAAAATTGGTTTCCAAGTTCTTCACAGAGTTATTCTGCATTATAAATTCGTCTCTGTAACGCTTGACAAATTTTAGCAGTCCCTGGTGCCATAAAACAGATGGAAGTAATATAAAATCATTTGGTTCTCTGTTGGAAAACCTTACATCTTACATCTTTCTTCAGATTTTCGAATCTTTTGACTAAATGACAGAAGACTGGAAGCATGGCTATTCAAGAAATAGCTAGACGGGTCCCTTCTTCAGTGCTAAGACCTTCCATTATAGCTGCAAAAGGTTATTGCCCTTTCTATGGGCATGAACTGACAGCTGCATCTTGGCTGAGATACAGATTGCGATCTGTTTTCTGTGTGTTCGTAGTGAAATTGAATACTGTAGTTTCATTACAGCCTATACAGGGTGTTTCACGACTTTAGGGCATAACTGCAAGAGGTGATTTCCTAGGTCTTTGTGATCAAAAAGGTTCATATAAACATGTGTCCGATTTTGGATGGTTACGGAGTTATGACCGTTTTAAACTCAGAATAGAAGGTAATGATTACTGACAATAAACCAGCATAATACATGATACATTTAAAGTATGAATGTAAAGTTAACTTCGTGAAATTAACCTTAATTTGAATTTATTGGTGCTTAAAGCTGATTTTCGAAAGTGCCACCACCGGCCGTAACACAGGCTGCCGCGCCGGACATACCAACCCACCCCACCATACGTAACTCTCAAGTGTCGAGATAATGAGAACGCTCTGTCTGTAGCTGGCTAAAGATAGCGACCTGCCAGCTGACAGATGCGGTTCACACGAGGGCGTGTACGGGAATGAAAAAATGGTCATAACTCCGTAACTGTCCAAAATCAGACACATGTTTATATGAACTTTTTTGATCACAAAGACCTAGGAAATCACCTCCTGCAGTTATGCCCTAAAGTCGTGAAACACCTGTATATACATCAAGCAGATAACACCAAAAACATATGTACATCGAATTTTACCATATATTTTTAACACAGTAATCTGCAGAATCTGCAGTAAAAGTACTGGTTCGTGGATGAGTTTGGGCTTAACTCATACGTATACTTTTTGTTGCTGTTCACTTAGGTATCATTTTAATTCCTTTATTAGGGTTTTACTCAAGTCGGTCTGGTAATTACTACATTTAAAAATAAATATTTAGGACTGTGCATGCGCTTCTACTAGCGATGTGTGGGCGCACTTCCAGTAGCGGAGTTTAAATGCCCAACTGGCCAAAACGGGGTACTTTGGCATGATGACCTTACTCATCACTGGCCTGAATGGGCACTTTGGCACTTAAAGGTTAAGGGGACTGTCAGTGAATAGGTCACAGGTAGATATAAAACATAAAGCATAAAACGAATCGGCTGCATACATCTTGTGTGATTGTGAGGCCGTAGCTTATTTAAGATTTCATCACTTGGGTATTTTTTATGGAACCAAGTGACTTTTATGATGCCCCCATAAGCAGGGTCCTACACTTTATTAAAAGTGTAGGATTAATAAAGGGCTAATCCAAGGGGAAGCACAATAGATCATTGAAGGTTGCAGTGCACGGGCCAGTTTTTTTGGCTCATCCCTTACATACATACATCTGTGACTTTTGAATGTCATTGAGAAAATTTCTCAACCCAGTTGTGACCCACTTTATGTGACAAACACTTCCCACCATAAACAGGAAACATTCATTATGAATATGCTTTGCCCACAGAAAAAACGCACAACAAAACTCTGTTCTTTGGTAGTATATTCCTCAAGCTCTCGCCATTTTGGCTACTGAAACCAGCCTCTGAACATGTGCATGTGCATCTGCTACCTACAGTGTCATGAAGCTGGACTGTGCTGCTACCTAGTGATACACATAGAAAACCTGTTATGTCCATTACAGCTGTTTTACTTCTATTTGTGACCTATTTAATGCTGCAGTATCACAATGCTAAATACTCCTTTATTTTCAGCCAGCTGATAATGGTAATGATAGAATTTTGTTCTTCTCTGTACAGACTTGTTACACTTCGCTACTGTGAGTTTTATATAAACTTCAACCCTAAGAGGGTCATTATTAAGTTGAACAGGTTACATTGTAGTGACATGATCAAGCCATTCACACCCATCCAAGGTTTGGTCATCTCTAAGATGGTGTCAGAATGAGTCAGAAGAAAGGCCAAAACACACAGAAGATTACTGATTTCTTTGTAGTAGGCTACAGAAAATGTGGAAGGCAGATCACCCTCATAAGGTCTGATTAGAGACACTGACATTTTGATTTGTTGCTTGCAGACATGTGAGAGCACGTGCAGTATTACTCATACCCGAATATAAGGTTTTCCTTGTCAAGATGGCACAGATTTTGAGGGGTGAAGGATATTGAACATGAGCTCATTTTGTGAAGACCAATGATGCAGTCTTATCTGGCAGTAAAACTAAGCTTGTTGCAGACACAGCAACAGCAGATTATAAATAGTAATGCAGGTAGAAGCTGAGATAAAATTGATCTAGTTGGAACCAATATTAGACACATTTGTGACAAAATAATGACACATTCACAGTCTCCTGATGTTACTGCCAGTGATGCATTTCGTTTTGGCTGCTCATGATGTAACATGACCAGTTTATATTGTGACCTGATGCCTGAAAGCTGGAATATTGAAGTCAGGGTAGATGTTTATTGCTAGGCAACAACTTGGTAAACATTCTCATGACAACGAATATGCAAGCAACAATCAAAGAACTAAACATTCTTGTGACAATGAATATTCAAGCAACAATCAAAGAACTGCTGTTTCCATTCAATGGCAAGGTGAACACCTCTATAACAATAGAGGAATTGTTGGAAAACTGTTTTCTGTTGGTGCCAACCCAAGGCGATAGAACAAGGATTACAGGCCAGGTAGAATTAGAACTGAGAGAGGTGGCAGTGGGAGGTGATTGAGAAGAAACAACAGTAAAGAAATAAGGCTTTGTAAAGAAGATTTCATGTGTGATTTGAAGTTACAGCGAGACTGGGTTGTTATTGTGTTGAAATCCAATGCCAGGATGTCATTGGTGAAGATTGAGAACCCTAGTGTGTGTATAATGGTGAACTGTAAAGTGTGTAGATCAGCAATATTGCTGTAATTAATTGTAGTTCTGAGTGGTGTGTATAGGATGTCAATAAATCCAATCACTCAAACTGAAACCAGTTTGTAGTCACAACCCCTAGGTCATGACAGTATATTGAAATTATATATTTTTGTAGTATAGTAAACCCTCTTGAACTCAGGTAATGCTTGCTACCATTCAGTCCAGAACCTTTTGTCTCCCCATCTGTTGTCCAAAAACATAAAAATTAGAATATACAAAACTATAATTTTGCCTGTGGTTCTGTATGGGTGTGAAACTTGGTCTCTAACATTAAGGGAGGAACACAGACTCAGGGTGTTGAGGAGAATATTTGGACTGAAGAGAGATGAAGTGACAGGAGGTTGGAGATAACTGCATAATGAGGAGCTTCATAACTTGTACTCTTCTCCAAGTATAATTAGGATAACCAAGTCAAGGAGGATGAGATGGGTAAGGCATGTAGCATGAATGGGGAAGAAGAGGAATGCATATAGGATATTGGTGGGAAAGGCAGTAAGAAAGAGAGTACTAGAAGACAAAGCTGTAGGTGGGTGGACAGTATTAAAACGGATCGTAGATAGGATGGGATAGAATGGACTGGATTGATCTGGTTCAGGATAGGGACCAGTGGAGTGCTCTTGTGAACATGGTAATGAACCTTCAGGTTCCATAAAATGCTGGGAAATTCTTGAGTAGCTGCAGAATTGGCGGCTCCTCCAGAAGGGCTCAGCTCCATGAGTAAGTAAGTAGGTAAACCTTCACCAATCTGGTTACAGTTAATCCGTACATCGCATAATCCAGATCAAAATATGCAAAATTTTGTGCACAGTTGAATACATGCTTTAAAAGATACATAGGGTTTCTGTGTTGAAGGTGGGTGGAGAGACTGAAACCGCGCAAGAAAATATCTAAGATTGGCTTGAGCAGGATGGAGACTCTGTATTTCATATTGTCTTTTTATAGTCTTAAATAATGCTTCTACAGTGATTTTTTTTATTTATTTTCATCAGCATTTCCTATATTATTTCATTTTCCATTAAAGTGTTTTCTAAGGATTTATTTTGTCTTTTAGGGCTGTCCTTTGTCTCATTAAT